CCTTTGTTCCCAGATTGACAGAAATTCAAGATCTTTCCATTTTCTCCATGAATGTATCCATGTTATGGAGTCTTCTAATGCTAAGGAGCTAGGTCATTGTGGAATGAGGTGTGACATGTATCCACTGTATCATCTGTGTACGCTGGATGTCTGCTGAAATGTCCTGCTTGCTCTCTGGTCCCAGGTGATGGGCCTGAGACATGTGTTACTGAAATCCACTGGTTCTCTTTGTTCCTTCCATATTGTAATTCTCATGTTGATGGGAATAATTTCACTGATCTGTTCCATGTTGAGGTACGAGAAATTCTGTATGAATAAACAATGCCCCATCTTTCTTGGACTTGTTATGTAATTGTTCTGTGGGGGCGTCCTAATCCCTCTTGGTCTCTACTTATGAAACGTGGCATGTATCCTGTGCCCCTAATGAGTTCAGGCTTTTCCCATGAGGTCTCTACCGAGATCTTCACCCTCTGCCAGGCATGGTTTTTGTTTCCTAGGAAACTAAGTTCTCAAGACTCATAAGCAACAAAGTGCTCTTTTTTTCTCTTATACTTCTGTAATTTCTTCTCCTCTGAGGAAATGATCTAGCTGTCCCTTAAGACAGCTTAAGACAAGGAGAAAGGAAGAGCTGAGAAATATGAGGGAAAAAAAAACCTCAATTATTATTTCAAAGATATTCCCTAGCATGCTTGCTAATACCCTTTGGGAAATGCTAGTCTAAAGAATGGAGGGTTAAAAGCTGATGTATAAAAGGATGTGTGTGACTGTTGTGCTGTCTTGAGTTTTGTTTTCATGTGCGGTTAAGTTACAGTATTGTTGTTGTTCACTCATTAAGTTGTGTCCAACTCTTTGAAACCCCATGGACTGCAGCACCCAGCTTCCTTTGTCCTCCACTATCTCACTACTGAGAATTGGTGATGCTGTCTAACCCTTTCATCCTCTGCCACTCCCTCTATTGCCTTAGGTCCTTACCAGCATCAGAGTCTTTTCCAGTGAGTTGGCTCTTTGTGTATTGAACTTCAGCAACAGTCCTTCCAATGAATATTTAGGGTTGATTTCCTTTAGGATTGATTGGTTTCATCTCCTTGCAGTCCAAGAGACTCTTAAGAGTCTTCTCTAGCACCACAATTTAAAAGCATCAATTCTTCAGTATTCAGCCTTCTTTATGGTCCAACTTTCACATCCATACATGACTACTGGAAAAGCCAGGGCTTTGAATATATGAACCTTTGTCGGTAAAATGATGTCTCTGCTTTTAAATATGCTATCTAGATTTGTCATTGCTTTCCTCCCAAGGAGCAAGCATCTTTTAATTTCATGGCTGCAATCACAGTCTGCAGTGATTTTGGAGCCCAAAAAATAAAATCTGTCACTGTTTTCACTTTTTCCCCTCTGCTTGCCGTGAAGTGATGAGACTGGATGCCATGATCTTAGTTTTTCTAATGGTTAGTTTCAAACCAGCTTTTTCACTCTCCTCTTTGACCCTTTTCAAGAGCCTCTTTAGTTCATCTTCACTTTCTGCCATTAGAGTGGTATCATCTGCATATCTGAGGTTGTTGATAATTCTCTCAGAAATCTTGATTCCAACTTGGTGATTCGTCCAGCACAGCACTTTGCATGATACACTCTGCATATCAATTATATGAGTAGGGTGATGATATACAGCCTTTCTAAATTATGAACCAGTCTTTTGTTCCATGTCCAATTCTAACTGTTGCTCTTAACTGGCATACAGGTTTCTCAGGAGGCAAGTAAGGTGGTCTGGTACCCGCATCTCTTTAAGCATTTTTCATAGTTTGTGGTGATCCACATGGTCAAAGGGCTTCCGATAGCTCAGCAGGTAAAGATGCCACCTTCAACACAGGAGTCTCAGGAGACATGGATTTGATCCCTGGATCAGGAAGATTCCCCTGGAGGAGGAAATGGAAACCCACTCCAGTATTCTTGCCTGGAAAATCCCACGAACAGAGGAGCCTGGTGGGCTACAGTCCATAGGACTGCAAAGAGTTGGACACGACTGAAACAGCTGAGCACCATGGGTACATACAGTCAAAGGCTTTAGCATAGTCAGTGAAGCAGACACAGACGTTTTTCTGGAACTCCCTTTCGTTCCTCAGCAAATAGTGAATAACTCATTGTCTTTGTAGTCTTCTGTGGAGCCCTCTTCTACGCTGACTCTTGAAAAGCCCCTGTTGCTGTTGGGAACTCTTCTTCCACCACATGAAGTAGGCCGGTTTGCTGGTTGAAGACATGGGGATCAGCCCAGAGCCAGCTTCAAACAGCAGACACGTAGGTTACTCCAGCTGAGCTGCCAACTGATTACAGGTTCCTAAGTGATCTTAGTTGAGACCCAAACTGCCAGTTGAGCGTCTCCCAGTGTTAAAATAAATGATAAGCAAATGAAATGATTGTTTAACCTATTTTTATTGCATCGATATAAAAATGTACAGTACAGTACAAAAAAACAACATAATATGGTAGGAATGAAAGAAGAGATATTTTGGGGGGAATATTTTCTCAAATACGGATATATGGGATCAAGAAAAACTGAAATGGTATAAGCTGGGACATTGAAAGGTCTTACTTTTCACTGAATGATCCAAAGTGGTTTTCTTGGTTTAAGTGCCTCATGTTCATTCTTGTGCCAGGAAATTCATTTATTTCTGGATGAGATCTGATCATTTAATTCAAACTCAACAAAATCATGCAAATGTTTTGTAAAAATGTGTTCTCAAGTGAGATATTATAGGATAAAAAAAAGGGAAGGGTAAAGTGTGATTATGGGCACTGTAATCTTCAGGAACTTAGAAAACTGTAGACAGGTCAGTGGGTGGACCCATCCTTGATGAGGTCATGGCATCATACTGCAGTTGTACCTTTCTGTAAATCACTGTCACTCTCACTGGCTTGGATTCACGAGGTTGTTCTGTTGTCACTGATGAAATGAAAGCAAACAGTTGTCTTAGTTTGAACATATCCTCAGGTATTCAGTTCAGGTATTCAGGTCAGACTCTTTGCAACCCCATGAATCGCAGCATGCCAGGCCTCCTTGTCCATCACCAACTCCCGGAGTTTACTCAAACTCATGTCCATCAAGTCGGTGATGCCATCCAGCCATCTCATCCTCTGTCATCCCCTTCTCCTCCTGCCCCCAATACCTCCCAGCATCAGGGTCTTTTCCAATGAGTCAGCTCTTGGCAGGAGGTGGCCAAAGTATTGGAGTTTCAGCTTCAGCATCAGTCCTTCCAATGAACACCCAGGACTGATCTCCTTTAGGATGGACTGGTTGGATCTCCTTGCAGTCCAAGGGACTCTCAAGAGTCTTCTCCAACATCATAGTTCAAAAGCATCAATTTTTCAGTGCTCAGCTTTCCTCACAGTCCAACTCTCACATCCATATATGACCACTGGAAAAACCATAGCCTTGACCACATGGACCTTTGTTGACAAAGTAATGTCTCTGCTTTTTAATATGCTATCTAAGTTGGTTATAACTTTACTTCCAAGGAGTAAGCTACTTTTAATTTCATGGCTGCAATCACCATCTGCAGTGATTTTGGAGCCCCCCAAAATAAAGTCTGACACTGTTTCCACTGTCTCCCCGTCTATTTCCCATGGAGTGATGGGACCAGATGCCATGATCTTAGTTTTCTGAATGTTGAGTGTAGACTCATCTAAATGCCTAATTAGATGGATTGTCATAAAGATTTCCTCAAAGCAATGAGATAAGTGTCATAAAACCAAGAGGTATTAAAAATATAAAGGGACTCATGATTCATGCCCTCAGGTTGTGAATCTAAATGCTGCCTTATAAAAATGAACTGCTACCAGGAAGCCGTGATTAGCTAGCTCCAGTAGTACTAACTCTAATCTCATGAGAACTTCTACTAGACCTATTAATTGCTTCTTTACAGATTTATTTTACAACAATTATCTTATTTAATCTTTAAAGCAATCCTAAGATTTAGATACTTTTCTTTAACATCTTAGAGCTGAAGGAACTGAAACTGAGCTAGAATAATTGGCCAAAGTTAATGCAACTGGTAAATACTGGTACAAGAGTTTATAGTCTGGAAAGTTTGTTTTACTTTAGTCCTTTTTTTGTCAATGATGCTGGTTCTTTTCAAGCTATTGCAAAGGCACTAGAAACCTGCAGTGCCTCAGGGACCACTGACTAGAAAAGGGAAGGAGAGGGGAATAAATCAGGCACTGCCCTGGGCCCCTCACTCCAGGTTCAGCCAGAGCACGTCTTTTATACATGAGTTTTATTTAAAGTTTTATTTTAAAAATTTCCAAATGTGATATTTTACCGGGATGTCCATTTTGAACTGTGGTGTTGGAGAAGACTCTTGAGAGTCCCTTGGACTGCAAGGAGATCCAACCAGTTCATGCTAAAGGAAATCAGTTCTTTCTAATCAGTCCATCAGTCCATCCTAAAGGAATCAGTCCATCCTAAAGGAATCAGTCCATCCTAAAGAAATCAGTTCATTGGAAGGACTGATTCTGAAGCTGAAACTCCAATACTTTGGCCACCTGATGCAAAGAACTGACTCATTGGAAGAAACCCTGATGCTGGGAAAGATTGAAGGCAGGAGGAGAAGGGGACGAGAGAGGGTGAGATGGTTGGATGGCATCACTGATTCGATGGACATGACTTTAAGTAAGCTCCGGGAGTTGGTGATGGACAGGGAGGCCTGGCACGCTGCAGTCCTTGACCCCAAGGAGTTTGGGTCACTGCAGTCCTTGGGGGTCACAAAGAGTCGGACACGACTGAGCAACTGAACTGAACTGAACCATGATGTCTTCTAAAGCTGTATTAGTAGCTTCTTGAAATCAGAACAGTCTTATCGTTTCTTTGATCTCACAAGTGGGAAACTTCCCATGTCTTGGAGCAGATGGAAATTACTACCCTTAGAATGTGCTTTGGACTCCAGTATCTCCCATTGACCCTGGCAGCCTTGCTGTCTTTTGCATCAAATTCAGTTACATTATTCACGTACCTGCAACCTTCTCACTGTTATCAGTGATATCAGTGATATCACTGTTATCGCAACTCACTGAGTTCTTTCCAAAGAGAGAAGTGATATCTTCTCCAAATATCTTGAGACAGTTTTCAATGAGAAATTGTATGAAAGAAATCTGTAACACAGAGGGGCAAAAAAATGGGGTATTACCGTACATATGGCGTCATAGTAAATCACATTTCATACATGAGTCTTGGCTCTAACAAAAAATGCAAGAGAAGTCTGAGAAAAATTCACTTGATTTAAAAAAATATATATATTATATATACATCAGCTTTTTCTAAGAAATAACTAATACTTTCAAGAGTACTTTGGGCAAAATTTTAAAATTCTTTTAGTTGGTGGACTAAAGTTATCATATGTGGCCTAGTTTAATAGCTAAAATTTTGTAATGATTGTTACATGCTTAAAACTAGGATGATTTTTAAGTAGCCTACATAGGATATTTGGGACAAAAATGTACATTTTCTTATTAAGTTTTATTTATTTGTATTAAATTTTTTCTCATTTTATTGAGATAGAATTTATATATAGCATCTCATTAAGCTTTATAAAGTATCAAGTGCAACTCAACTTTTGAAATTCACTTCAGTGAAGAACTATCTGAAACTTGGGTAGCAGAGGTTGCTGTGTGGGGTGGGGGGGTTTGTGACGGAAGAAAGCATCTGGAGAGAAAACATGTCTGTCTGTCTAACTGCATTGCCTTGCCTCACACTTGCTGTCCAGGGGGGCTTGGAAAAGTGCTGTGATCTTCTCAGGCATGTTGTGGCTCTGTCAGATGTTCTGAAATATTTGACTAGCTTCCTCATCCTCTAGCAGAGACACAATAGAAGCCAAGTATTTTCCTGAATGAGCCAGAACTGGCAGCGTGAGGCCAGTATGTGTGGAGCCTTGGGTGCTCATATTGCCCAGGCCGCCTAAGATGTGCGAGAGTGACCAGATGTATCGGGTGTTGTCATCATTGTGTAATGATGAAATCATAGTTTGGAGGTTTGTACACCCCTCAGTGATTAGGCTGAGAGTTGAATCTTGGTTCTCAGATACCAAAGCCAGGTTCTTTTCTATCCTACCATCCTACTCTTATCTCTCTATTGTTTAATCTCTTGGCTGGCAAAGGAGAAGTGACTCAACTGTGCTCAGTTGCCATACACCTTCCCATGCCCAACCAGAGTAGGACTCTGCCAGTCCAAGGCAGTGTAATTAAAACGTGCACTTTAAAAACTGGTTCATCAGAGTTAATACCACCGACTTCAGGTTCAAAATGGGGACACTGCCCCGCAAGGCATAAAAATGAGAGATCTCATTACCTTTTTGGTGAAGCTTTCTAATTCTGTGCTGCCAGAATTAAGCAGACAAAGAATGCTTGGGGTTATACACACTGATAAATTGTAAGCTGTCATCTGATTGGATGAGGAATGTTGCTCAATGTTGTGTAACACTCCAAAAAGGTAACGCAAAAAAACTACGTTGGCTCTTGGCAGCTGGTCTAGAAGCCTAATGACAGAAAAAGGCACTTATAAATAAAGCGAGTCATTTTGGTCAGTACGAGGAAATACAGAGAACAAAGTACTTCTTTTTATACCATGTCCACAGTCCATTCTCACAGTTCCAGGCATGAATGCATACAAAAATGTTTCACCGAATTTAATTCCTGAGCCAGGTAAGAACTGCTCTGATTAGTTATGTGTTTGTATTTAAGATCATACCACTGGCAGATTGGTTCTTTATCATCTCTTTTTAGACCAATGGATTTCATCTCCAACAATTTCGTGTATTCAGAAGGTGTAAAATGGTCAAGCATTCCATATTAATAAGATGAGGAGAAAAACACCAATTACAATGTCACCAATAAGGCATGCATCTCTTTTCAAACTGGCTTCCATGGCTATGATCAAGTGAAGCCTTTTGATACTGGTCATTATTTTAGTGGACACAGCTGTAAACTATAAGCTGATATTTTCCTAAGAGTATCTTGGTTGTATTTTCTCAGAATTGAAAAAATTGCATCATTACCTCTGGGTCACAGTTATTTTCTCCTCCTCATTCCCTTGATCAATAACACCAAGCCATTTATCATAGAGACTGGCTGAAAATATGCTTCCTGGAATATTTCGAAGAAAATCCTTATATAGATCAAAAAATATATATTAGTCTTATGATAAACTCAATGGAGAAATTGCAAGAAAATATTTAGTTGAAAAATTCAATTCAGTCCGTGTTTCCTTCACAGCCACGCAGACTGATTCACACAGAGCTTGGCTGTGATTCTCCACAGCCTTGCACACCCAGAAGTGCTGGTTGGATTTTCCCCAACTAAAATTAGAAGCATGAAAGTAGAGTTTGGGCTGTAGTGAGAATGAAGCTGAAGCTCCTTCTATCACCTGGAACTTACTCTTTGTGTTCATGTTAGCACATTAGTACAAACTGGCAAGGTCTGGTGATAACTCATCCTAAATCCTATTAGTTTCTTGAAAAGAAATGCACATACCCATTTTGTCTGTTTACCTAAGACAGACTGCTTGCTCTTAATTCAAGAAAGGGAAGTTCTGAAATAAACAAAATTACACCCCTCCATGCTCTTATACACATATTAAGAGAAGACTTGATGTATATGTGCTCTTTGGGAAAAAGTTAGTCTCATAATAGCTTCAATCTTTTTCTTTTTTTTTTTAAACCATATAAAAGTTCAGTCCTACAGACTTTTAAGCAGCAAGTGTTAGAAATAAATCAAAAGCTCCAATGGGTAAATTACATGTTACCCTTATAACTCTTTGAATGGAATATATCCTCCCCAAAGAGGAAACTGAGAATTTAGATACATTGCAGCTTCACACCTGTGGGATAGAATATGCAAATATAAGCTTCCTAAGTGGAATCCTGGAAAGTTCATCAGTGATGAACAAGTCTTAGTATCATAGAATGGGGCCTATTAAAATAGATGACGTTGTAAACTGTTTTGCAAGACTGAGGGGAAAGGATTGCATTGCCTTGCCAGTTTCAAAGGCACAACTTGCTTCCACTGGTCTTAATATAGAACCTGACTTCTATTAACAGTATCTTGTTCAGGCAAGGTTTCTGGGCAACTCTCATGATTATAATCCAGTCAGTGTTCACTTGTTTCAGTACTTATTGAGCTGCTGTTTGTGCCAGGCACTCTTTTGAGTACTGAGGACAGAGTACAAAGTCTCAGTCCTCTCATACTTTTTCTTGTAATTGGTACACAGTACCCAATCATGGTCATTAGGTTTTTACTATGCTTCTTATGGAGTGTCCACAGTATATTTGGATGGAGGAAGCACTCCATTCCAGTTCAGTCGTTCAGTCATGTCCTACTCTTTGTGACCCCATGGACTGCAGCACACCAGGCTTTCCTGTCCATCACCAACACCTGGGTCTTGCTCAAATTCATGTCCATCGAGTTGGTGATGCCATTCCACCGCCTCAGCTGGCTTTGGCTTCTGGGAGTCTGGGAGTGTGCAGCAGGCTTTGCCTTGGGTACCAAACTACATGCACTTGGAGAGTGTGTCTCTTCTCTCTCTTGGACCCTGTGCTGTAGAATCAATTGGTGAGACTGAGTATGGTTAAGCCAGGACATGACTCATGCAGAATATGCCATGGGTATTTGCTGTTGGATCTCTGTTTATAGACAGTTTAATGGAAAACTCAATGTGGTTCTGACTATATATTCATTTCTGATTTAGACCAACTCTATGGTTGCTTTGACATATGGTATTATCAATGCTGAGGTTGCAAAGTCTGATTCCCCACCAAGATCAATCAATTTTAGGAAAAGAAAACTTTGGGATTGTGTAAGACCTGTACCCATAAGTAGCCACCCTCTTACTAGTCTGTGCTTATAGCATGGAAATAGGCAAGAGCCTAGTAAATCTTGCTCAAAAATCTAATCAGTTCCAAGGGTGCACCTTATAGACGGTAGCGCTCCACTTGCTATTTGCATACCTAGTGTGTATTATTATGGTGCAAGTGTAGTAGGGGTCAACTCTAAGTTGTATCTGCACTGTTGCTATTATCATACAATCGAACATTAACAGGGGACAAGGAAAGACCATATGTTTAGTTTCTAAGATAATTTTAATAACCTGTCTGTAGTTATTACTACATCAATATATTTTTGTTCATAGCTGCTAACAAGTATCAAGATGAATTGACTAAATTTTTTTCCTGTTCTATTATTGCCCTGGTAGAGATTTAACTACACACACTTGTGATTTAGCTGTATCATTTCAAACTCAGTGTGTTTTTTGTATGAATCTATTGAATTTTCAAAATTCCAAACTGACTTTGACTGTTGCACTCACTTTAAAAATAAGATTTATAAGATGAGGCATGTAATAAAACTGGTTACCATGTAACTGTAACCTTGGGTGGTGGGTTAAACATACAAATATTAAGAAAGGGTATTAAAGATGTTAAGGGAGATAAAAGGATTAACAAATGGTGGAGTCATCCCTACACTGATTTTAAAGTAAAAGGCATTGAGAGACAGGGGAAGGAAGGATGATGAAATGATCAGAGAATTTGGTGGCCTCACTAAGCATTTTTTGATTCACTATAAGTCAAATGGGTTTCCCAGATGGTGCTAGTGATAAAGAACCTGCCTGCCAATGCAGGAGATGCAAGAGCTGCGGGTTCGATCCCTGAATCAGGAAGATCTCCTGGAAAGGGCATGGCAGCCCACTCTAGTGTTCTTGCCTGGAGAATCCCATGGACCAAGGGGCCTGGTGGGCTACAGTCCATGGGATCACAGAGAGTCGGACACGACTAGGCGACTAACACACACACACACACACACACACACACACACACGAGTTTACCACAGTAAGTAACCATGTGTCTTGCATCCATGCTGAGTTGCTTCAGCCGTGTCTGACTCTGTGCCATCCCATGGACTATAGCCTGCCGGACTCCTCTGTCCATGGGATTCTCCAGGCAAGAATCCTGGAGTCGGTATGCCAGTCCCTTTTCCAGGGGATCCTTCTAACCCAGGGATCGAACCCAGGTCTCCGGCATTGCAGGAGGATTCTTTACTGTCTGAGCCACTTGGGAAGTTAGTTCTGTTAACTATTTCCAAAAGCTTAATACGAATTTTATTTTGGAAATGATACCTTCATTAGAAAGATGATGAGGAAGTCATCAAAAGCAGGAAGCTTGTTTTGGTAAACACTCTATGTGTAAGTGTGTATTTTGAAATTTATTATTATTCTTTTGCATGGAGTGTTCAGGAGTCAAGATGTGCAATGAAAAAGGAAAATATCTAATATATGGGGCTTATAATATTTGAGGTACCTTCCTTCAATTTTGGCTTTGTGAAGTGTTTTTCACTTTTTCAAATCCTTCCTCTCTTATGCCTATTATGTTTCTTGGGCAGTCATAATGAAGGGCCAGTCATATAGCTTCAGATTTACTCTGTGTGTGGATAGTGCTCAAACTTTCCTTACCTTTAAGACGGATGCTACCACAAGAAGGGATTCATCATCCAAGTTCACTTTGTCCCCAGAGTTTAGTTTCTCCTTTAGGGCTCTGCATGATTTTATACTGGCAGATTTTCTGAAGATGCCTTCTGTGAATGGCCCTTTTTGATTGATAAAGGAAAGCATATCCTATAGGGAACGAAAGAAAAGAAAAGTATGGGACGTTTCATATCTACAAGCCCAGAGCACAAGCTTGCTCCTCTTTTGACAGAGCTGTGGTGTATGAGGGTACAGTGCTGGAACTGGACCGAAGTCAACTTGAAATTTTTTCTTCAGTGTCTCTAAATATATTTTCTACCCAACCATCGATTGGGCATTCATACCCTGAAACATTTTAAACACTTGTGTCATCAGATTTTCTGCTTCAGTGAATTTACCCTGTTAAACGTCTCTGCTTTGAGGCCTTTGTAGATTCACCCTCTCCTCCTTCACCGCTCCTTTCTCATTATTCCCTATTATAGATGCTCTTCCCTAAGTGTGGAAATCTTTTTGCCATATTCATGCTCCATTTGTGTATTCCCCTTTCCGGACTGTCCACCCCATTCATTCCTATTTCCTGTATTCCGTCCCCTCAAAATCAGGCTCAACATGCCTCTCCTCCTTCTCCGCTCACATTTCTTTCTCATCAGCCTTTCCAGTTCCTTTTTCTGTATTTTCATGTAGTCTGCTGTCTGCAGAGTAGAGAGATAACAGATACTGGAGCCAGGTGTTTCAAGGAATGTGGAATCTGTTTTGCTACTTATCCACTCTGTGACTTTAGGCATAGCACATACTTGGGTGAGGCTCTTTTGATTTTCATTTATGAAGTGGGGGTGATGATAATCATAGCTACCCCCTAAATTTTCTGTGAAAGACACAAGGTCTGGGGTAGTGCTAGCACCAAACTAGTATGATAAATTTCTTCATATATACCATAAAATTCCCTGCATCTAGTGTAGTGCTTGGAGAGATAGTGGACAGTGAACAAGTGTTAATGCTTACAGTTCAATACACTAATTTGATATAGCACAGTCCAAACTGTGACTTTCTTTTGACACATTCTGTCAGGATCAAATGATTCATTTTTGCCAGAGGATGAGTACTTTATGCTGAAACACTTGAGTTACAAATCAAATCCGTGTGAGACATTTTGAATCATAAGGCGGGGTAGACTCAGCTGAAGGAGACTTGAGACTAGTGTCGACTTCAAGGGAGGAGACAGGAGACAATATGAGGATGAGGTGGACTCTCAGAGATTCTTACACACAGAGTCTGAAGGAAAGTTACACAGCTCAAAATAGCCTGGAGTTAAAACTCCCGTCCAGGTCCTCCGCACCATTCTATGCAAAATAAAGAACTCTGTCACCCGAAGAAAAAAATGGACCTTAGGTTGATTACGCCCAGCTCCCAGCTGGTCCCAGCCTCTGGCCAGTCTCCAAAATTCCTTGCTCCAGCTGTGTAAGAGATAACTGCTCTGAAGAACCTTGCAGAACAGGCCTCCTTAAGACAGTAGCTTTCCACATACATGCCTGTATATACTTTTTTCTTGGGGTGGTGCAGCAGCTCACTGTTGTGACTGCTGCCCCTTTTTGCCTCGTTAAAGGTGATCTGTTCCTGTAAAGTGCCGGTCTCATTCTTTTTCCAAACCTTGCCTTCTCTAATTCCCTTACCTTACAGAGTCCATTTTAACTGGTCTGAGCTGGTATAGATGGGTCTTTGTTGAAATCAGTGGAATGGATGAGAGTATCTTTTCATCTGGTATTTGCCTTCTAACTCTGCAGTACCTAAATCAGACCTTATTCTTTGAAGTAATATTATGAAACTTATCAGACAAAGCTAGACTTCTTCATTTGGGAGTAGATTTGGAAGAGAACACTTGATCTCTCAGAACTCCCCTCCCTCAGGAAGGCTACAGAAAACCAAAATAAGACCTACCAGAATTGGGGTGGGCAGGGTGTCATTATCACATACATCCTCAAGAGGAGCTCCAAAGAGCTGTTTTGGCTTTGTGGGTGGCAGACGTGGGTGTTGGTTGTCCTCGCGAGTCCTGGAGCTACACCAAAAGGCCCAGTTTTTGGCAGAATTCTTACTAACTGTCTTCTTGTCTGTATCTAATGTAGAAGAGAGATTTTCACTAGTAGTAGTTTAGCTTATTTAGCCTGATTTCCACCACTTACATTCATTAGCATGTTCATTGCAGTGGCTGAAAGAGAGAAACTGAACCATTTGTTATATAGAATTCCCCACATTCTGAAACGGACTCATTGCATCCTTGTAGTGTTAACATGTTCTTCTTCCCCATATTCTGCAAACCAGTAGTTGAACCTAGAGGCGTGATCAGACTCAGGGTTGATTCTTCCTGTGACAGTATTCCCCAGAGAGTGCTCTCTCTTCCCTTTGCCCTGTGTCATGAGGCACTTAACCTGTAGCTATACAGGTTTCCTAATGTGAAGTATTATCAGTGGATTCTGGTATCAGATCTCATTTTAAAAGCCAAACATATTTAGTATTCAAATCAAGCAGCATTTGGTTATCATTTACTTTTGTAGTAAGTTTCCTCCCTCTGTTCAATTTCCTGTTTGGCTTTCTGAGTACCCAGTCATGCCCAATTTTCTCTCATCAAAAGAATCACCTTTCATGAGACATCCTGCCTGACCCTGCTTTTCAGTCAGCCTCTGGAGCTCTTCTCTGGGAGGCCACACCCCTCAGTCAGCTCCAAGGCTGACTTCCTGCCCTCAGGGTCCTTGGGAAGTAGTCATTAAATGCAGACTATGTGCTAAGATTACAGGTGGCCATTTTTCTGTAACACCTTACTCAGCTAACCCAAAGATGAATTTTAACTACCAACAGCCCCTGTCAAACGAATGCAGTGAAGAGCTTTTCCAAGAAAGAGTGATCAGCAATGAAAAATTGAGTTCAAAGTTTCTCGTGCCCAGCTATGAATGTTTTCCTGATATTTGCTCAATGAACCTGCTTAATATTTCCTTAAATTACCTGCTTAAGTAGCCAGCTGAAGAAGTCAATAGAGGAGTCAAGTTGTAGAAAAATAAACAGAAGAATTTAACGAAATATTTTAAAATGCCATCCACTTGGCTTTTCTGAGACATAGTGAGTGCATCACCATGTCCATTCAAGTGGGTGAGCCACTTGTGGTGCTGGGTGAGAGAACCAGAAGGCTCCTATTCTGCCCCCTAATTGGATAAGTTACCTAAAACTCTTTGAGCTTCAGTTTGCTCAGACTTAATATAAATGATGCTACTTACACCTCACTGGACTACATACCATAATGTACTACTCCGTGCAAGACATGTCACATAGCAGCCTTAATAAAGGTAATTTCCCTCCTTCAAAGGGCCTAAGGCAGCCTAGACATCAGTCACCTCCCCAACAAGCAGACCCCACTCCCATTCTCCATTTGATTTTGCAGCCTCTAGAAGGTGTGCATTCCTGAAGGAATGTCATCGCTTTGCCTTAGGCTCTTCCTGCCTTGACATCATACCGCCATCATTTTCAAAGGAGATGATGAAGAAAGCAAATGCATTCCTAAATTCAGGAAGAGATTCTCCTAATTAATATGTACAAATGTTAAAAAGATACATGTTTATATGGGTGAGTTGCTTTATGCACCCTGGTTTCCCTGCTCTTAACCTGATTATTTTATTTCTAAAACTACCCAAAGGTATTCATGCATTCCAAATGTATTCATTCATTGTTCAGCTTTAATAAGAATACTCAGGAAGAAAGCTCTATCAGTTGCTACAAAGCTATACGTCCAGCTACTCTTGAGCATAGACGGAAAGCAAAATAGAGATTAAGCCCTATACTTTTATTTTCAGGCCTAGATGGACCTTTCGTAATGTACATTGGTTGGTGTTAGAGTTCTTGCTGGCTCAGTGACCAATAAAAATACATACTGTAGCCACGAAAAGTATGGTGCTCGGTTGTTCAGTCGTGTCCAACTCTTGCACCCCTGTGGACTGTAGTCCATCAGACTCCTGTCTGTGGGATTTCCCAGATAGTAATACTGCAGCGGGTTGCCAGGGACTGGTAAACAGGTTAGCTTTATAAACTCATCTTTCTTAAACAGTCCTGACAAGATTTAGGTCAGTGTTTCCTCCTGTTCAAATTAGGGTTTGAATGTTAAAAAGTGAAATTTTGAAAGTTTGTGGGTATAGAATAACAATTATAAGAATAAAAATACTTTAAGTAGAAATTCTATTCTGGCCCCAATACTTCTTAAATTAGTAAGACATTTTATTCAGAGAAATAAATATCAATGGGACAATATTGGAATGGTAGCAGGGATGATTGCAAGAGGAAAGATTTTTAAAAAAACCAAACACATAAATATTCAGTCCAGTTCCATTGGCAGCCTGGGTCTGAAGCAGAATGGAAAGTGAGCTTGCTGTGGAGATAGAATCAAGAGTTCAAGTTTCTGGGGTGGTCCTAAGATTGCAGACGAATAGGACAATGAGACCACTTTCTCCCCCACAAATTTGTCGAAAGAACATTTGAACGCTGAGCAAATTCCACGTAACAACTTCTGAATGCTGGAAGAGGACATCAGGCTCCCAGAAAGACAGCCCATTGTCTTTGAAAGGAGGTAGGACAAACTATAAAAGATAAAAAGACAGACAAAAGAGACAGGGACAGAGATCCGTCCTGGGAAGGGAGTCTTAAAAGAGGAGAAGTTTCCAAACACCAGGAAGCACTCTCATAGCGGGTCTTTTGGGAGTTTTGGAATCTCAGAGGACAATATAACCAGGAGAAAAAATAAATATATAAATAACTAAAACCCACAGATTATGTGCCTAATGGCAACTCCCAGCAGAAAAGTAGCCCAGACGCTCGCATCCACCACCAGCAAGTGGGGGCTGAACCCAGAGGCTTCGGCTGCATTGCTTAGAGTAAGGAACAGGCCTGAATACCCCGAGGGCAATCTGAGGGAGCTAATGTAAGATAGCAACCCAGACTGTGGGATAGCCAGAGGGCGAGAAAGAGAACTGTCCGGAGAAAAGCCCTAACCTAAGACATTGCCATGCCCTCAGGTTGTGAATCTAAATACTGCCTTATAAAAATGAACTGCTACCAGGAAGCCGTGATTAGCTAGGCTCAAGTAGTACTAACTCTAATCTCATAAGAACTTCTACTAGACCTATTAATTGCTTCTTTACAGATTTATTTTACATCAGTTATCTTATTTAACCTTTAGTGCAATCCTAAGATTTAGATACTTTTCATTAACATCTTAGAGATGAAGGAACTGAAACTGAGCTAGAATAATTGGCCAAAGTTAATGCAACTGGTAAATACTGGTACAAGAGTTTATAGTCTGGAAAGTTTGTTTTAATTTAGTCCTTTTTTTGTCAATGATGCTGGTTCTTTTCAAGCTATTGCAAAGGCACTAGAAACCTGCAGTGCCTCAGGGACCACTGACCAGAAAAGGGAAGGAGAGGGGAATAAACCAGGCAGTGCCCTGGGCCCCTCACTCCAGGTTCAGCCAGAGCACATCTTTTATATATGAGTTTTATTTAAAGTTTTATGTTAAAAATTTCCAAATGTGATATTTTACCGGGATGTCCATTTTGAACTGTGGTGTTGGAGAAGACTCTTGAGAGTCCCTTGGACTGCAAGGAGATCCAACCAGTTCATGCTAAAGGAAATCAGTTCTTTCTAATCAGTCCATCAGTCCATCCTAAAGGAATCAGTCCATCCTAAAGGAATCAGTCCATCCTAAAGAAATCAGTTCATTGGAAGGACTGATTCTGAAGCTGAAACTCCAATACTTTGGCCACCTGATGCAAAGAACTGACTCATTGGAAGAAACCCTGATGCTGGGAAAGATTGAAGGCAGGAGGAGAAGGGGACGAGAGAGGGTGAGATGGTTGGATGGCATCACTGATTCGATGGACATGACTTTAAGTGAGCTCCGGGAGTTGGTGATGGACAGGGAGGCCTGGCACGCTGCAGTCCTTGACCCCAAGGAGTTTGGGTCACTGCAGTCCTTGGGGGTCACAAAGAGTCGGACACGACTGAGCAACTGAACTGAACTGAACCATGATGTCTTCTAAAGCTGTATTAGTAGCTTCTTGAAATCAGAACAGTCTTATCGTTTCTTTGATCTCACAAGTGGGAAACTTCCCATGTCTTGGAGCAGATGGAAATTACTACCCTTAGAATGTGCTTTGGACTCCAGTATCTCCCATTGACCCTGGCAGCCTTGCTGTCTTTTGCATCAAATTCAGTTACATTATTCACGTACCTGCAACCTTCTCACTGTTATCAGTGATATCAGTGATATCACTGTTATCGCAACTCACTGAGTTCTTTCCAAAGAGAGAAGTGATATCTTCTCCAAATATCTTGAGACAGTTTTCAATGAGAAATTGTATGAAAGAAATCTGTAACACAGAGGGGCAAAAAAATGGGGTATTACCGTACATATGGCGTCATAGTAAATCACATTTCATACATGAGTCTTGGCTCTAACAAAAAATGCAAGAGAAGTCTGAGAAAAATTCACTTGATTTAAAAAATATATATATTATATATACATCAGCTTTTTCTAAGAAATAACTAATACTTTCAAGAGTACTTTGGGCAAAATTTTAAAATTCTTTTAGTTGGTAGACTAAAGTTATCATATGTGGCCTAGTTTAATAGCTAAAATTTTGTAATGATTGTTACATGCTTAAAATTAGGATGATTTTTAAGTAGCCTACATAGGATACTTGGGACAAAAATGTATATTTTCTTATTAAGTTTTATTTATTTGTATTAAATTTTTTTCTCGTTTTATTGAGATAGAATTTATATATAGCATCTCATTAAGCTTTATAAAGTATCAAATGCAACTCAACTTTTGAAATTCACTTCAGTGAAGAACTATCTGAAACTTGGGTAGCAGAGGTTGCTGTGTGGGGTGGGGGGGTTTGTGACGGAAGAAAGCATCTGGAGAGAAAACATGTCTGTCTGTCTAACTGCATTGCCTTGCCTCACACTTGCTGTCCAGGGGAGCTTGGAAAAGAGCTGTGATCTTCTCAGGCATGTTGTGGCTCTGTCAGATGTTCTGAAATATTTGACTAGCTTCCTCATCCTCTAGCAGAGACACAATAGAAGCCAAGTATTTTCCTGAATGAGCCAGAACTGGCAGCGTGAGGCCAGTATGTGTGGAGCCTTGGGTGCTCATATTGCCCAGGCCGCCTAAGATGTGCGAGAGTGACCAGATGTATCGGGTGTTGTCATCATTGTGTAATGATGAAATCATAGTTTGGAGGTTTGTACACCCCTCAGTGATTAGGCTGAGAGTTGAATCTTGGTTCTCAGATACCAAAGCCAGGTTCTTTTCTATCCTACCATCCTACTCTTATCTCTCTATTGTTTAATCTCTTGGCTGGCAAAGGAGAAGTGACTCAACTGTGCTCAGTTGCCATACACCTTCCCATGCCCAACCAGAGTAGGACTCTGCCAGTCCAAGGCAGTGTAATTAAAACGTGCACTTTAAAAACTGGTTCATCAGAGTTAATACCACCGACTTCAGGTTCAAAATGGGGACACTGCCCCGCAAGGCATAAAAATGAGAGATCTCATTACCTTTTTGGTGAAGCTTTCTAATTCTGTGCTGCCAGAATTAAGCAGACAAAGAATGCTTGGGGTTATACACACTGATAAATTGTAAGCTGTCATCTGATTGGATGAGGAATGTTGCTCAATGTTGTGTAACACTCCAAAAAGGTAACGCAAAAAAACTACGTTGGCTCTTGGCAGCTGGTCTAGAAGCCTAATGACAGAAAAAGGCACTTATAAATAAAGCGAGTCATTTTGGTCAGTACGAGGAAATACAGAGAACAAAGTACTTCTTTTTATACCATGTCCACAGTCCATTCTCACAGTTCCAGGCATGAATGCATACAAAAATGTTTCACCGAATTTAATTCCTGAGCCAGGTAAGAACTGCTCTGGTTAGTTATGTGTTTGTATTTAAGATCATACCACTGGCAGATTGGTTCTTTATCATCTCTTTTTAGACCAATGGATTTCATCTCCAACAATTTCGTGTATTCAGAAGGTGTAAAATGGTCAAGCATTCCATATTAATAAGATGAGGAGAAAAACACCAATTACAATGTCACCAATAAGGCATGCATCTCTTTTCAAACTGGCTTCCATGGGTATGATCAAGTGAAGCCTTTTGATACTGGTCATTATTTTAGTGGACACAGCTATAAACTATAAGCTGATATTTTCCTAACAGTATGTTGGTTGTATTTTCTCAGAGTTGAGAAAATTGCATCATTACCTCTGGGTCGCAGTTATTTTCTCCTCCTCATTGCCTTGATCAATAACATCAAGCCATTTATCATAGAGACTGGCTGAAAATATGCTTCCTGGAATATTTCGAAGAAAATCCTTATATAGATCAAAAAATATATATTAGTCTTATGATAAATTCAATGGAGAAATTGCAAAGAAAATATTTAGTTGAAAAATTCAATTCAGTCCGTGGTTCCTTCACAGCCACGCAGACTGATTCACACAGAGCTTGGCTGTGATTCTCCACAGCCTTGCACACCCAGAAGTGCTGGTTGGATTTTCCCCAACTAAAATTAGAAGCATGAAAGTAGAGTTTGGGCTGTAGTGAGAATGATGCTAAAGCTCCTTCTATCACCTGGAGCTTACTCTTTGTGTTCATGTTAGGCACATTAGTACAAACTGGCAAGGTCTAGTGATTACTCATCCTAAATCCAATTAGTTTCTTTAAAAGAAATGCACATACCCATTTTGTTTGTTTACTTAAGACACAGTGCTTGCTCTTAATTCAAGAAAGAGAATTTCTGAAATAAACAAAATTACACCCCTCCATGCTCTTATACACATATTAAGAGAAGACTTGAGGTATATGTGCTCTTTGGGAAAAAAGCTAGTCTCATAATAGCTTCAATCTTTTTCTTTTTTTTTTTTAAAAACCATATAAAAGTTCAGTCCTACAGACTTTTAAGCAGCAGGTGTTAGAAATAAATCAAAAGCTCCAATAGGTAAACTACATGTTACCCTTACAACTCTTTGAATGGAATATATTCTCCCCAAGGAGGAAAGTGAGAATTTAGATACATTGCCACTTCACACCTGTGGGATAGAATATGCAAATATAAGCTTCCTAAGTGGAATCCTGGAAAGTTCATCAGTGATGAACAAGTCTTAGTATCATAGAATGGGGCCTATTAAAATAGATGACGTTGTAAACTGTTTTGCAAGACTGAGGGGAAATGATTGCATTGCCTTGCCAGTTTCAAAGGCACAACTTGCTTCCACTGGTCTTAATATAGAACCTGACTTCTATTAACAGTATCTTGTTCAGGCAAGGTTTCTGGGCAACTCTCATGATTATAATCCAGTCAGTGTTCACTTGTTTCAGTACTTATTGAGCTGCTGTTTGTGCCAGGCACTCTTTTGAGTACTGAGGACAGAGTACAAAGTCTCAGTCCTCTCATACTTTTTCTTGTAATTGGTATACAGTACCCAATCATGGTCATTAGGTTTTCACTATGCTTCTTATGGAGAGTCCACAGTATATCTGGAAGGAGGAGGCACTCCATTTCAGTTCAGTCGTTCAGTCATGTCCTACTCTTTGTGACCCCATGGACTGCAGCACACCAGGCTTTCCTGTCCATCACCAACACCTGGGTCTTGCTCAAATTCATGTCCATTGAGTTGGTGATGCCATTCAACCACCTCAGCTGGCTTTGGCTTCTGGGAGTCTGGGAGTGTGCAGCAGGCCTTTGCCTTGGGTACCAAACTACATGCACTTGGAGAGTGTGTCTCTCCTCTCTCTTGGACCTTGTGCTGTAGAATCAATTGGTGAGACTGAGTATGGTTAAGCCAGGACATGACTCATGCAGAATATGCCATGGGTATTTGCTGTTGGATCTCTGTTTATAGACAGTTTAATGGAAAACTCAATGTGGTTCTCACTATATATTCATTTCTGATTTAGACCAACTCTATGGCTGCTTTGACATATGGTATTATCAATGCTGAGGTTGCAAAGTCTGATTCCCCACCAAGATCAATCAATTTTAGGAAAAGAAAACTTTGGGATTGTGTAAGACCTGTACCCATAAGTAGCCACCCTCTTACTAGTCTGTGCTTATAGCATGGAAATAGGCAAGAGCCTAGTAAATCTTGCTCAAAAATCAAATCAGTTCCAAGGGTGCACCTTATAGACGGTAGCACTCCACTTGCTATTTGCATACCTAGCGTGTATTATTATGGTGCAAGTGTAGTAGGGGTCAACTCTAAGTTGTATCTGCACTGTTGCTATTATCATACAATCGAACATTAACAGGGGACAAGGAAAGACCATATGTTTAGTTTCTAAGATAATTTTAATAACCTGTCTGTAGTTATTACTACATCAATATATTTTTGTTCATAGCTGCTAACAAGTATCAAGATGAATTGACTAAATTTTTTTCCTGTTCTATTATTGCCCTGGTAGAGATTTAACTACACACACTTGTGATTTAGCTGTATCATTTCAAACTCAGTGTGTTTTTTGTATGAATCTATTGAATTTTCAAAATTCCAAACTGACTTTGACTGTTGCACTCACTTTAAAAATAAGATTTATAAGATGAGGCATGTAATAAAACTGGTTACCATGTAACTGTAACCTTGCGTGGTGGGTTAAACATACAAATATTAACAAAGGGTATTAAAGATGTTAAGGGAGATAAAAGGATTAACAAATGGTGGAGTCATCCCTACACTGATTTTAAAGTAAAAGGCATTGAGAGACAGGGGAAGGAAGGATGATGAAGTGATCAGAGAATTTGGTGGCCTCACTAAGCATTTTTTGATTCACTATAAGTCAAATGGGTTTCCCAGATGGTGCTAGTGATAAAGAACCTGCCTGCCAATGCAGGAGATGCAAGAGCTGCGGGTTCGATCCCTGAATCAGGAAGATCTCCTGGAGAAGGGCATGGCAGCCCACTCTAGTGTTCTTGCCTGGAGAATCCCATGGACCAAGGGGCCTGGTGGGCTACAGTCCATGGGATCACAGAGAGTCGGACACGACTAGGCGACTAACACACACACAGACACACACACACACGAGTTTACCACAGTAAGTAACCATGTGTCTTGCATCCATGCTGAGTTGCTTCAGCCGTGTCTGACTCTGTGCCATCCCATGGACTATAGCCTGCCAGACTCCTCTGTCCATGGGATTCTCCAGGCAAGAATACTGGAGTCGGTATGCCAGTCCCATTTCCAGGGGATCCTTCCAACCCAGGGATCGAACCCAGGTCTCCCGCATTGCAGGCAGATTCTTTACTGTCTGAGCCACTTGGGAAGTTAGTTCTGTTAACTATTTCCAAAAGCTTAATACGAATTTTATTTTGGAAATGTTGCCTTCATTAGAAAGATGATGAGGAAGTCACCAAAAGCAGGAAGCTTGTATTGGTAAACACTCTTATGTGTAAGTGTGTATTTTGAAATTTATTATTATTCTTTTGCATGGAGTGTTCAGGAGTCAAGATGTGCAATGAAAAAGGAAAATATCTAATATATGGGGCTTATAATATTTGAGGTACCTTCCTTCAATTTTGGCTTTGTGAAGTGTTTTTCACTTTTTCAAATCCTTCCTCTCTTATGCCTATTATGTTTCTTGGGCAGTCATAATGAAGGGCCAGTCATATAGCTTCAGATTTACTCTGTGTGTGGATAGTGCTCAAACCTTCCTTACCTTTAAGACGGATGCTACCACAAGAAGGGATTCATCATCCAAGTTCACTTTGTCCCCAGAGTTTAGTTTCTCCTTTAGGGCTCTGCATGATTTTATACTGGCAGATTTTCTGAAGATGCCTTCTGTGAATGGCCCTTTTTGATTGATAAAGGAAAGCATATCCTATAGGGAACGAAAGAAAAGAAAAGTATGGGACGTTTCATATCTACAAGCCCAGAGCACAAGCTTGCTCCTCTTTTGACAGAGCTGTGGTGTATGAGGGTACAGTGCTGGAACTGGACCGAAGTCAACTTGAAATTTTTTCTTCAGTGTCTCTAAATATATTTTCTACCCAACCATCGATTGGGCATTCATACCCTGAAACATTTTAAACACTTGTGTCATCAGATTTTCTGCTTCAGTGAATTTACCCTGTTAAACGTCTCTGCTTTGAGGCCTTTGTAGATTCACCCTCTCCTCCTTCACCGCTCCTTTCTCATTATTCCCTATTATAGATGCTCTTCCCTAAGTGTGGAAATCTTTTTGCCATATTCATGCTCCATTTGTGTATTCCCCTTTCCGGACTGTCCACCCCATTCATTCCTATTTCCTGTATTCCGTCCCCTCAAAATCAGGCTCAACATGCCTCTCCTCCTTCTCCGCTCACATTTCTTTCTCATCAGCCTTTCCAGTTCCTTTTTCTGTATTTTCATGTAGTCTGCTGTCTGCAGAGTAGAGAGATAACAGATACTGGAGCCAGGTGTTTCAAGGAATGTGGAATCTGTTTTGCTACTTATCCACTCTGTGACTTTAGGCATAGCACATACTTGGGTGAGGCTCTTTTGATTTTCATTTATGAAGTGGGGGTGATGATAATCATAGCTACCCCCTAAATTTTCTGTGAAAGACACAAGGTCTGGGGTAGTGCTAGCACCAAACTAGTATGATAAATTTCTTCATATATACCATAAAATTCCCTGCATCTAGTGTAGTGCTTGGAGAGATAGTGGACAGTGAACAAGTGTTAATGCTTACAGTTCAATACACTAATTTGATATAGCACAGTCCAAACTGTGACTTTCTTTTGACACATTCTGTCAGGATCAAATGATTCATTTTTGCCAGAGGATGAGTACTTTATGCTGAAACACTTGAGTTACAAATCAAATCCGTGTGAGACATTTTGAATCATAAGGCGGGGTAGACTCAGCTGAAGGAGACTTGAGACTAGTGTCGACTTCAAGGGAGGAGACAGGAGACAATATGAGGATGAGGTGGACTCTCAGAGATTCTTACACACAGAGTCTGAAGGAAAGTTACACAGCTCAAAATAGCCTGGAGTTAAAACTCCCGTCCAGGTCCTCCGCACCATTCTATGCAAAATAAAGAACTCTGTCACCCGAAGAAAAAAATGGACCTTAGGTTGATTACGCCCAGCTCCCAGCTGGTCCCAGCCTCTGGCCAGTCTCCAAAATTCCTTGCTCCAGCTGTGTAAGAGATAACTGCTCTGAAGAACCTTGCAGAACAGGCCTCCTTAAGACAGTAGCTTTCCACATACATGCCTGTATATACTTTTTTCTTGGGGTGGTGCAGCAGCTCACTGTTGTGACTGCTGCCCCTTTTTGCCTCGTTAAAGGTGATCTGTTCCTGTAAAGTGCCGGTCTCATTCTTTTTCCAAACCTTGCCTTCTCTAATTCCCTTACCTTACAGAGTCCATTTTAACTGGTCTGAGCTGGTATAGATGGGTCTTTGTTGAAATCAGTGGAATGGATGAGAGTATCTTTTCATCTGGTATTTGCCTTCTAACTCTGCAGTACCTAAATCAGACCTTATTCTTTGAAGTAATATTATGAAACTTATCAGACAAAGCTAGACTTCTTCATTTGGGAGTAGATTTGGAAGAGAACACTTGATCTCTCAGAACTCCCCTCCCTCAGGAAGGCTACAGAAAACCAAAATAAGACCTACCAGAATTGGGGTGGGCAGGGTGTCATTATCACATACATCCTCAAGAGGAGCTCCAAAGAGCTGTTTTGGCTTTGTGGGTGGCAGACGTGGGTGTTGGTTGTCCTCGCGAGTCCTGGAGCTACACCAAAAGGCCCAGTTTTTGGCAGAATTCTTACTAACTGTCTTCTTGTCTGTATCTAATGTAGAAGAGAGATTTTCACTAGTAGTAGTTTAGCTTATTTAGCCTGATTTCCACCACTTACATTCATTAGCATGTTCATTGCAGTGGCTGAAAGAGAGAAACTGAACCATTTGTTATATAGAATTCCCCACATTCTGAAACGGACTCATTGCATCCTTGTAGTGTTAACATGTTCTTCTTCCCCATATTCTGCAAACCAGTAGTTGAACCTAGAGGCGTGATCAGACTCAGGGTTGATTCTTCCTGTGACAGTATTCCCCAGAGAGTGCTCTCTCTTCCCTTTGCCCTGTGTCATGAGGCACTTAACCTGTAGCTATACAGGTTTCCTAATGTGAAGTATTATCAGTGGATTCTGGTATCAGATCTCATTTTAAAAGCCAAACATATTTAGTATTCAAATCAAGCAGCATTTGGTTATCATTTACTTTTGTAGTAAGTTTCCTCCCTCTGTTCAATTTCCTGTTTGGCTTTCTGAGTACCCAGTCATGCCCAATTTTCTCTCATCAAAAGAATCACCTTTCATGAGACATCCTGCCTGACCCTGCTTTTCAGTCAGCCTCTGGAGCTCTTCTCTGGGAGGCCACACCCCTCAGTCAGCTCCAAGGCTGACTTCCTGCCCTCAGGGTCCTTGGGAAGTAGTCATTAAATGCAGACTATGTGCTAAGATTACAGGTGGCCATTTTTCTGTAACACCTTACTCAGCTAACCCAAAGATGAATTTTAACTACCAACAGCCCCTGTCAAACGAATGCAGTGAAGGGCTTTTCCAAGAAAGAGTGATCAGCAATGAAAAATTGAGTTCAAAGTTTCTCGTGCCCAGCTATGAATGTTTTCCTGATATTTGCTCAATGAACCTGCTTAATATTTCCTTAAATTACCTGCTTAAGTAGCCAGCTGAAGAAGTCAATAGAGGAGTCAAGTTGTAGAAAAATAAACAGAAGAATTTAACGAAATATTTTAAAATGCCATCCACTTGGCTTTTCTGAGACATAGTGAGTGCATCACCATGTCCATTCAAGTGGGTGAGCCACTTGTGGTGCTGGGTGAGAGAACCAGAAGGCTCCTATTCTGCCCCCTAATTGGATAAGTTACCTAAAACTCTTTGAGCTTCAGTTTGCTCAGACTTAATATAAATGATGCTACTTACACCTCACTGGACTACATACCATAATGTACTACTCCGTGCAAGACATGTCACATAGCAGCCTTAATAAAGGTAATTTCCCTCCTTCAAAGGGCCTAAGGCAGCCTAGACATCAGTCACCTCCCCAACAAGCAGACCCCACTCCCATTCTCCATTTGATTTTGCAGCCTCTAGAAGGTGTGCATTCCTGAAGGAATGTCATCGCTTTGCCTTAGGCTCTTCCTGCCTTGACATCATACCGCCATCATTTTCAAAGGAGATGATGAAGAAAGCAAATGCATTCCTAAATTCAGGAAGAGATTCTCCTAATTAATATGTACAAATGTTAAAAAGATACATGTTTATATGGGTGAGTTGCTTTATGCACCCTGGTTTCCCTGCTCTTAACCTGATTATTTTATTTCTAAAACTACCCAAAGGTATTCATGCATTCCAAATGTATTCATTCATTGTTCAGCTTTAATAAGAATACTCAGGAAGAAAGCTCTATCAGTTGCTACAAAGCTATACGTCCAGCTACTCTTGAGCATAGACGGAAAGCAAAATAGAGATTAAGCCCTATACTTTTATTTTCAGGCCTAGATGGACCTTTCGTAATGTACATTGGTTGGTGTTAGAGTTCTTGCTGGCTCAGTGACCAATAAAAATACATACTGTAGCCACGAAAAGTATGGTGCTCGGTTGTTCAGTCGTGTCCAACTCTTGCACCCCTGTGGACTGTAGTCCATCAGACTCCTGTCTGTGGGATTTCCCAGATAGTAATACTGCAGCGGGTTGCCAGGGACTGGTAAACAGGTTAGCTTTATAAACTCATCTTTCTTAAACAGTCCTGACAAGATTTAGGTCAGTGTTTCCTCCTGTTCAAATTAGGGTTTGAATGTTAAAAAGTGAAATTTTGAAAGTTTGTGGGTATAGAATAACAATTATAAGAATAAAAATACTTTAAGTAGAAATTCTATTCTGGCCCCAATACTTCTTAAATTAGTAAGACATTTTATTCAGAGAAATAAATATCAATGGGACAATATTGGAATGGTAGCAGGGATGATTGCAAGAGGAAAGATTTTTAAAAAAACCAAACACATAAATATTCAGTCCAGTTCCATTGGCAGCCTGGGTCTGAAGCAGAATGGAAAGTGAGCTTGCTGTGGAGATAGAATCAAGAGTTCAAGTTTCTGGGGTGGTCCTAAGATTGCAGACGAATAGGACAATGAGACCACTTTCTCCCCCACAAATTTGTCGAAAGAACATTTGAACGCTGAGCAAATTCCACGTAACAACTTCTGAATGCTGGAAGAGGACATCAGGCTCCCAGAAAGACAGCCCATTGTCTTTGAAAGGAGGTAGGACAAACTATAAAAGATAAAAAGACAGACAAAAGAGACAGGGACAGAGATCCGTCCTGGGAAGGGAGTCTTAAAAGAGGAGAAGTTTCCAAACACCAGGAAGCACTCTCATAGCGGGTCTTTTGGGAGTTTTGGAATCTCAGAGGACAATATAACCAGGAGAAAAAATAAATATATAAATAACTAAAACCCACAGATTATGTGCCTAATGGCAACTCCCAGCAGAAAAGTAGCCCAGACGCTCGCATCCACCACCAGCAAGTGGGGGCTGAACCCAGAGGCTTCGGCTGCATTGCTTAGAGTAAGGAACAGGCCTGAATACCCCGAGGGCAATCTGAGGGAGCTAATGTAAGATAGCAACCCAGACTGTGGGATAGCCAGAGGGCGAGAAAGAGAACTGTCCGGAGAAAAGCCCTAACCTAAGACATTGCCATGCCCTCAGGTTGTGAATCTAAATGCTGCCTTATAAAAATGAACTGCTACCAGGAAGCCGTGATTAGCTAGGCTCAAGTAGTACTAACTCTAATCTCATAAGAACTTCTACTAGACCTATTAATTGCTTCTTTACAGATTTATTTTACATCAGTTATCTTATTTAACCTTTAGTGCAATCCTAAGATTTAGATACTTTTCATTAACATCTTAGAGATGAAGGAACTGAAACTGAGCTAGAATAATTGGCCAAAGTTAATGCAACTGGTAAATACTGGTACAAGAGTTTATAGTCTGGAAAGTTTGTTTTAATTTAGTCCTTTTTTTGTCAATGATGCTGGTTCTTTTCAAGCTATTGCAAAGGCACTAGAAACCTGCAGTGCCTCAGGGACCACTGACCAGAAAAGGGAAGGAGAGGGGAATAAACCAGGCAGTGCCCTGGGCCCCTCACTCCAGGTTCAGCCAGAGCACATCTTTTATATATGAGTTTTATTTAAAGTTTTATGTTAAAAATTTCCAAATGTGATATTTTACCGGGATGTCCATTTTGAACTGTGGTGTTGGAGAAGACTCTTGAGAGTCCCTTGGACTGCAAGGAGATCCAACCAGTTCATGCTAAAGGAAATCAGTTCTTTCTAATCAGTCCATCAGTCCATCCTAAAGGAATCAGTCCATCCTAAAGGAATCAGTCCATCCTAAAGAAATCAGTTCATTGGAAGGACTGATTCTGAAGCTGAAACTCCAATACTTTGGCCACCTGATGCAAAGAACTGACTCATTGGAAGAAACCCTGATGCTGGGAAAGATTGAAGGCAGGAGGAGAAGGGGACGAGAGAGGGTGAGATGGTTGGATGGCATCACTGATTCGATGGACATGACTTTAAGTGAGCTCCGGGAGTTGGTGATGGACAGGGAGGCCTGGCACGCTGCAGTCCTTGACCCCAAGGAGTTTGGGTCACTGCAGTCCTTGGGGGTCACAAAGAGTCGGACACGACTGAGCAACTGAACTGAACTGAACCATGATGTCTTCTAAAGCTGTATTAGTAGCTTCTTGAAATCAGAACAGTCTTATCGTTTCTTTGATCTCACAAGTGGGAAACTTCCCATGTCTTGGAGCAGATGGAAATTACTACCCTTAGAATGTGCTTTGGACTCCAGTATCTCCCATTGACCCTGGCAGCCTTGCTGTCTTTTGCATCAAATTCAGTTACATTATTCACGTACCTGCAACCTTCTCACTGTTATCAGTGATATCAGTGATATCACTGTTATCGCAACTCACTGAGTTCTTTCCAAAGAGAGAAGTGATATCTTCTCCAAATATCTTGAGACAGTTTTCAATGAGAAATTGTATGAAAGAAATCTGTAACACAGAGGGGCAAAAAAATGGGGTATTACCGTACATATGGCGTCATAGTAAATCACATTTCATACATGAGTCTTGGCTCTAACAAAAAATGCAAGAGAAGTCTGAGAAAAATTCACTTGATTTAAAAAATATATATATTATATATACATCAGCTTTTTCTAAGAAATAACTAATACTTTCAAGAGTACTTTGGGCAAAATTTTAAAATTCTTTTAGTTGGTAGACTAAAGTTATCATATGTGGCCTAGTTTAATAGCTAAAATTTTGTAATGATTGTTACATGCTTAAAATTAGGATGATTTTTAAGTAGCCTACATAGGATACTTGGGACAAAAATGTATATTTTCTTATTAAGTTTTATTTATTTGTATTAAATTTTTTTCTCGTTTTATTGAGATAGAATTTATATATAGCATCTCATTAAGCTTTATAAAGTATCAAATGCAACTCAACTTTTGAAATTCACTTCAGTGAAGAACTATCTGAAACTTGGGTAGCAGAGGTTGCTGTGTGGGGTGGGGGGGTTTGTGACGGAAGAAAGCATCTGGAGAGAAAACATGTCTGTCTGTCTAACTGCATTGCCTTGCCTCACACTTGCTGTCCAGGGGAGCTTGGAAAAGAGCTGTGATCTTCTCAGGCATGTTGTGGCTCTGTCAGATGTTCTGAAATATTTGACTAGCTTCCTCATCCTCTAGCAGAGACACAATAGAAGCCAAGTATTTTCCTGAATGAGCCAGAACTGGCAGCGTGAGGCCAGTATGTGTGGAGCCTTGGGTGCTCATATTGCCCAGGCCGCCTAAGATGTGCGAGAGTGACCAGATGTATCGGGTGTTGTCATCATTGTGTAATGATGAAATCATAGTTTGGAGGTTTGTACACCCCTCAGTGATTAGGCTGAGAGTTGAATCTTGGTTCTCAGATACCAAAGCCAGGTTCTTTTCTATCCTACCATCCTACTCTTATCTCTCTATTGTTTAATCTCTTGGCTGGCAAAGGAGAAGTGACTCAACTGTGCTCAGTTGCCATACACCTTCCCATGCCCAACCAGAGTAGGACTCTGCCAGTCCAAGGCAGTGTAATTAAAACGTGCACTTTAAAAACTGGTTCATCAGAGTTAATACCACCGACTTCAGGTTCAAAATGGGGACACTGCCCCGCAAGGCATAAAAATGAGAGATCTCATTACCTTTTTGGTGAAGCTTTCTAATTCTGTGCTGCCAGAATTAAGCAGACAAAGAATGCTTGGGGTTATACACACTGATAAATTGTAAGCTGTCATCTGATTGGATGAGGAATGTTGCTCAATGTTGTGTAACACTCCAAAAAGGTAACGCAAAAAAACTACGTTGGCTCTTGGCAGCTGGTCTAGAAGCCTAATGACAGAAAAAGGCACTTATAAATAAAGCGAGTCATTTTGGTCAGTACGAGGAAATACAGAGAACAAAGTACTTCTTTTTATACCATGTCCACAGTCCATTCTCACAGTTCCAGGCATGAATGCATACAAAAATGTTTCACCGAATTTAATTCCTGAGCCAGGTAAGAACTGCTCTGGTTAGTTATGTGTTTGTATTTAAGATCATACCACTGGCAGATTGGTTCTTTATCATCTCTTTTTAGACCAATGGATTTCATCTCCAACAATTTCGTGTATTCAGAAGGTGTAAAATGGTCAAGCATTCCATATTAATAAGATGAGGAGAAAAACACCAATTACAATGTCACCAATAAGGCATGCATCTCTTTTCAAACTGGCTTCCATGGGTATGATCAAGTGAAGCCTTTTGATACTGGTCATTATTTTAGTGGACACAGCTATAAACTATAAGCTGATATTTTCCTAACAGTATGTTGGTTGTATTTTCTCAGAGTTGAGAAAATTGCATCATTACCTCTGGGTCGCAGTTATTTTCTCCTCCTCATTGCCTTGATCAATAACATCAAGCCATTTATCATAGAGACTGGCTGAAAATATGCTTCCTGGAATATTTCGAAGAAAATCCTTATATAGATCAAAAAATATATATTAGTCTTATGATAAATTCAATGGAGAAATTGCAAAGAAAATATTTAGTTGAAAAATTCAATTCAGTCCGTGGTTCCTTCACAGCCACGCAGACTGATTCACACAGAGCTTGGCTGTGATTCTCCACAGCCTTGCACACCCAGAAGTGCTGGTTGGATTTTCCCCAACTAAAATTAGAAGCATGAAAGTAGAGTTTGGGCTGTAGTGAGAATGATGCTAAAGCTCCTTCTATCACCTGGAGCTTACTCTTTGTGTTCATGTTAGGCACATTAGTACAAACTGGCAAGGTCTAGTGATTACTCATCCTAAATCCAATTAGTTTCTTTAAAAGAAATGCACATACCCATTTTGTTTGTTTACTTAAGACACAGTGCTTGCTCTTAATTCAAGAAAGAGAATTTCTGAAATAAACAAAATTACACCCCTCCATGCTCTTATACACATATTAAGAGAAGACTTGAGGTATATGTGCTCTTTGGGAAAAAAGCTAGTCTCATAATAGCTTCAATCTTTATCTTTTTTTTTTTTAAAAACCATATAAAAGTTCAGTCCTACAGACTTTTAAGCAGCAGGTGTTAGAAATAAATCAAAAGCTCCAATAGGTAAACTACATGTTACCCTTACAACTCTTTGAATGGAATATATTCTCCCCAAGGAGGAAAGTGAGAATTTAGATACATTGCCACTTCACACCTGTGGGATAGAATATGCAAATATAAGCTTCCTAAGTGGAATCCTGGAAAGTTCATCAGTGATGAACAAGTCTTAGTATCATAGAATGGGGCCTATTAAAATAGATGACGTTGTAAACTGTTTTGCAAGACTGAGGGGAAATGATTGCATTGCCTTGCCAGTTTCAAAGGCACAACTTGCTTCCACTGGTCTTAATATAGAACCTGACTTCTATTAACAGTATCTTGTTCAGGCAAGGTTTCTGGGCAACTCTCATGATTATAATCCAGTCAGTGTTCACTTGTTTCAGTACTTATTGAGCTGCTGTTTGTGCCAGGCACTCTTTTGAGTACTGAGGACAGAGTACAAAGTCTCAGTCCTCTCATACTTTTTCTTGTAATTGGTATACAGTACCCAATCATGGTCATTAGGTTTTCACTATGCTTCTTATGGAGAGTCCACAGTATATCTGGAAGGAGGAGGCACTCCATTTCAGTTCAGTCGTTCAGTCATGTCCTACTCTTTGTGACCCCATGGACTGCAGCACACCAGGCTTTCCTGTCCATCACCAACACCTGGGTCTTGCTCAAATTCATGTCCATTGAGTTGGTGATGCCATTCAACCACCTCAGCTGGCTTTGGCTTCTGGGAGTCTGGGAGTGTGCAGCAGGCCTTTGCCTTGGGTACCAAACTACATGCACTTGGAGAGTGTGTCTCTCCTCTCTCTTGGACCTTGTGCTGTAGAATCAATTGGTGAGACTGAGTATGGTTAAGCCAGGACATGACTCATGCAGAATATGCCATGGGTATTTGCTGTTGGATCTCTGTTTATAGACAGTTTAATGGAAAACTCAATGTGGTTCTCACTATATATTCATTTCTGATTTAGACCAACTCTATGGCTGCTTTGACATATGGTATTATCAATGCTGAGGTTGCAAAGTCTGATTCCCCACCAAGATCAATCAATTTTAGGAAAAGAAAACTTTGGGATTGTGTAAGACCTGTACCCATAAGTAGCCACCCTCTTACTAGTCTGTGCTTATAGCATGGAAATAGGCAAGAGCCTAGTAAATCTTGCTCAAAAATCAAATCAGTTCCAAGGGTGCACCTTATAGACGGTAGCACTCCACTTGCTATTTGCATACCTAGCGTGTATTATTATGGTGCAAGTGTAGTAGGGGTCAACTCTAAGTTGTATCTGCACTGTTGCTATTATCATACAATCGAACATTAACAGGGGACAAGGAAAGACCATATGTTTAGTTTCTAAGATAATTTTAATAACCTGTCTGTAGTTATTACTACATCAATATATTTTTGTTCATAGCTGCTAACAAGTATCAAGATGAATTGACTAAATTTTTTTCCTGTTCTATTATTGCCCTGGTAGAGATTTAACTACACACACTTGTGATTTAGCTGTATCATTTCAAACTCAGTGTGTTTTTTGTATGAATCTATTGAATTTTCAAAATTCCAAACTGACTTTGACTGTTGCACTCACTTTAAAAATAAGATTTATAAGATGAGGCATGTAATAAAACTGGTTACCATGTAACTGTAACCTTGCGTGGTGGGTTAAACATACAAATATTAACAAAGGGTATTAAAGATGTTAAGGGAGATAAAAGGATTAACAAATGGTGGAGTCATCCCTACACTGATTTTAAAGTAAAAGGCATTGAGAGACAGGGGAAGGAAGGATGATGAAGTGATCAGAGAATTTGGTGGCCTCACTAAGCATTTTTTGATTCACTATAAGTCAAATGGGTTTCCCAGATGGTGCTAGTGATAAAGAACCTGCCTGCCAATGCAGGAGATGCAAGAGCTGCGGGTTCGATCCCTGAATCAGGAAGATCTCCTGGAGAAGGGCATGGCAGCCCACTCTAGTGTTCTTGCCTGGAGAATCCCATGGACCAAGGGGCCTGGTGGGCTACAGTCCATGGGATCACAGAGAGTCGGACACGACTAGGCGACTAACACACACACAGACACACACACACACGAGTTTACCACAGTAAGTAACCATGTGTCTTGCATCCATGCTGAGTTGCTTCAGCCGTGTCTGACTCTGTGCCATCCCATGGACTATAGCCTGCCAGACTCCTCTGTCCATGGGATTCTCCAGGCAAGAATACTGGAGTCGGTATGCCAGTCCCATTTCCAGGGGATCCTTCCAACCCAGGGATCGAACCCAGGTCTCCCGCATTGCAGGCAGATTCTTTACTGTCTGAGCCACTTGGGAAGTTAGTTCTGTTAACTATTTCCAAAAGCTTAATACGAATTTTATTTTGGAAATGTTGCCTTCATTAGAAAGATGATGAGGAAGTCACCAAAAGCAGGAAGCTTGTATTGGTAAACACTCTTATGTGTAAGTGTGTATTTTGAAATTTATTATTATTCTTTTGCATGGAGTGTTCAGGAGTCAAGATGTGCAATGAAAAAGGAAAATATCTAATATATGGGGCTTATAATATTTGAGGTACCTTCCTTCAATTTTGGCTTTGTGAAGTGTTTTTCACTTTTTCAAATCCTTCCTCTCTTATGCCTATTATGTTTCTTGGGCAGTCATAATGAAGGGCCAGTCATATAGCTTCAGATTTACTCTGTGTGTGGATAGTGCTCAAACCTTCCTTACCTTTAAGACGGATGCTACCACAAGAAGGGATTCATCATCCAAGTTCACTTTGTCCCCAGAGTTTAGTTTCTCCTTTAGGGCTCTGCATGATTTTATACTGGCAGATTTTCTGAAGATGCCTTCTGTGAATGGCCCTTTTTGATTGATAAAGGAAAGCATATCCTATAGGGAACGAAAGAAAAGAAAAGTATGGGACGTTTCATATCTACAAGCCCAGAGCACAAGCTTGCTCCTCTTTTGACAGAGCTGTGGTGTATGAGGGTACAGTGCTGGAACTGGACCGAAGTCAACTTGAAATTTTTTCTTCAGTGTCTCTAAATATATTTTCTACCCAACCATCGATTGGGCATTCATACCCTGAAACATTTTAAACACTTGTGTCATCAGATTTTCTGCTTCAGTGAATTTACCCTGTTAAACGTCTCTGCTTTGAGGCCTTTGTAGATTCACCCTCTCCTCCTTCACCGCTCCTTTCTCATTATTCCCTATTATAGATGCTCTTCCCTAAGTGTGGAAATCTTTTTGCCATATTCATGCTCCATTTGTGTATTCCCCTTTCCGGACTGTCCACCCCATTCATTCCTATTTCCTGTATTCCGTCCCCTCAAAATCAGGCTCAACATGCCTCTCCTCCTTCTCCGCTCACATTTCTTTCTCATCAGCCTTTCCAGTTCCTTTTTCTGTATTTTCATGTAGTCTGCTGTCTGCAGAGTAGAGAGATAACAGATACTGGAGCCAGGTGTTTCAAGGAATGTGGAATCTGTTTTGCTACTTATCCACTCTGTGACTTTAGGCATAGCACATACTTGGGTGAGGCTCTTTTGATTTTCATTTATGAAGTGGGGGTGATGATAATCATAGCTACCCCCTAAATTTTCTGTGAAAGACACAAGGTCTGGGGTAGTGCTAGCACCAAACTAGTATGATAAATTTCTTCATATATACCATAAAATTCCCTGCATCTAGTGTAGTGCTTGGAGAGATAGTGGACAGTGAACAAGTGTTAATGCTTACAGTTCAATACACTAATTTGATATAGCACAGTCCAAACTGTGACTTTCTTTTGACACATTCTGTCAGGATCAAATGATTCATTTTTGCCAGAGGATGAGTACTTTATGCTGAAACACTTGAGTTACAAATCAAATCCGTGTGAGACATTTTGAATCATAAGGCGGGGTAGACTCAGCTGAAGGAGACTTGAGACTAGTGTCGACTTCAAGGGAGGAGACAGGAGACAATATGAGGATGAGGTGGACTCTCAGAGATTCTTACACACAGAGTCTGAAGGAAAGTTACACAGCTCAAAATAGCCTGGAGTTAAAACTCCCGTCCAGGTCCTCCGCACCATTCTATGCAAAATAAAGAACTCTGTCACCCGAAGAAAAAAATGGACCTTAGGTTGATTACGCCCAGCTCCCAGCTGGTCCCAGCCTCTGGCCAGTCTCCAAAATTCCTTGCTCCAGCTGTGTAAGAGATAACTGCTCTGAAGAACCTTGCAGAACAGGCCTCCTTAAGACAGTAGCTTTCCACATACATGCCTGTATATACTTTTTTCTTGGGGTGGTGCAGCAGCTCACTGTTGTGACTGCTGCCCCTTTTTGCCTCGTTAAAGGTGATCTGTTCCTGTAAAGTGCCGGTCTCATTCTTTTTCCAAACCTTGCCTTCTCTAATTCCCTTACCTTACAGAGTCCATTTTAACTGGTCTGAGCTGGTATAGATGGGTCTTTGTTGAAATCAGTGGAATGGATGAGAGTATCTTTTCATCTGGTATTTGCCTTCTAACTCTGCAGTACCTAAATCAGACCTTATTCTTTGAAGTAATATTATGAAACTTATCAGACAAAGCTAGACTTCTTCATTTGGGAGTAGATTTGGAAGAGAACACTTGATCTCTCAGAACTCCCCTCCCTCAGGAAGGCTACAGAAAACCAAAATAAGACCTACCAGAATTGGGGTGGGCAGGGTGTCATTATCACATACATCCTCAAGAGGAGCTCCAAAGAGCTGTTTTGGCTTTGTGGGTGGCAGACGTGGGTGTTGGTTGTCCTCGCGAGTCCTGGAGCTACACCAAAAGGCCCAGTTTTTGGCAGAATTCTTACTAACTGTCTTCTTGTCTGTATCTAATGTAGAAGAGAGATTTTCACTAGTAGTAGTTTAGCTTATTTAGCCTGATTTCCACCACTTACATTCATTAGCATGTTCATTGCAGTGGCTGAAAGAGAGAAACTGAACCATTTGTTATATAGAATTCCCCACATTCTGAAACGGACTCATTGCATCCTTGTAGTGTTAACATGTTCTTCTTCCCCATATTCTGCAAACCAGTAGTTGAACCTAGAGGCGTGATCAGACTCAGGGTTGATTCTTCCTGTGACAGTATTCCCCAGAGAGTGCTCTCTCTTCCCTTTGCCCTGTGTCATGAGGCACTTAACCTGTAGCTATACAGGTTTCCTAATGTGAAGTATTATCAGTGGATTCTGGTATCAGATCTCATTTTAAAAGCCAAACATATTTAGTATTCAAATCAAGCAGCATTTGGTTATCATTTACTTTTGTAGTAAGTTTCCTCCCTCTGTTCAATTTCCTGTTTGGCTTTCTGAGTACCCAGTCATGCCCAATTTTCTCTCATCAAAAGAATCACCTTTCATGAGACATCCTGCCTGACCCTGCTTTTCAGTCAGCCTCTGGAGCTCTTCTCTGGGAGGCCACACCCCTCAGTCAGCTCCAAGGCTGACTTCCTGCCCTCAGGGTCCTTGGGAAGTAGTCATTAAATGCAGACTATGTGCTAAGATTACAGGTGGCCATTTTTCTGTAACACCTTACTCAGCTAACCCAAAGATGAATTTTAACTACCAACAGCCCCTGTCAAACGAATGCAGTGAAGGGCTTTTCCAAGAAAGAGTGATCAGCAATGAAAAATTGAGTTCAAAGTTTCTCGTGCCCAGCTATGAATGTTTTCCTGATATTTGCTCAATGAACCTGCTTAATATTTCCTTAAATTACCTGCTTAAGTAGCCAGCTGAAGAAGTCAATAGAGGAGTCAAGTTGTAGAAAAATAAACAGAAGAATTTAACGAAATATTTTAAAATGCCATCCACTTGGCTTTTCTGAGACATAGTGAGTGCATCACCATGTCCATTCAAGTGGGTGAGCCACTTGTGGTGCTGGGTGAGAGAACCAGAAGGCTCCTATTCTGCCCCCTAATTGGATAAGTTACCTAAAACTCTTTGAGCTTCAGTTTGCTCAGACTTAATATAAATGATGCTACTTACACCTCACTGGACTACATACCATAATGTACTACTCCGTGCAAGACATGTCACATAGCAGCCTTAATAAAGGTAATTTCCCTCCTTCAAAGGGCCTAAGGCAGCCTAGACATCAGTCACCTCCCCAACAAGCAGACCCCACTCCCATTCTCCATTTGATTTTGCAGCCTCTAGAAGGTGTGCATTCCTGAAGGAATGTCATCGCTTTGCCTTAGGCTCTTCCTGCCTTGACATCATACCGCCATCATTTTCAAAGGAGATGATGAAGAAAGCAAATGCATTCCTAAATTCAGGAAGAGATTCTCCTAATTAATATGTACAAATGTTAAAAAGATACATGTTTATATGGGTGAGTTGCTTTATGCACCCTGGTTTCCCTGCTCTTAACCTGATTATTTTATTTCTAAAACTACCCAAAGGTATTCATGCATTCCAAATGTATTCATTCATTGTTCAGCTTTAATAAGAATACTCAGGAAGAAAGCTCTATCAGTTGCTACAAAGCTATACGTCCAGCTACTCTTGAGCATAGACGGAAAGCAAAATAGAGATTAAGCCCTATACTTTTATTTTCAGGCCTAGATGGACCTTTCGTAATGTACATTGGTTGGTGTTAGAGTTCTTGCTGGCTCAGTGACCAATAAAAATACATACTGTAGCCACGAAAAGTATGGTGCTCGGTTGTTCAGTCGTGTCCAACTCTTGCACCCCTGTGGACTGTAGTCCATCAGACTCCTGTCTGTGGGATTTCCCAGATAGTAATACTGCAGCGGGTTGCCAGGGACTGGTAAACAGGTTAGCTTTATAAACTCATCTTTCTTAAACAGTCCTGACAAGATTTAGGTCAGTGTTTCCTCCTGTTCAAATTAGGGTTTGAATGTTAAAAAGTGAAATTTTGAAAGTTTGTGGGTATAGAATAACAATTATAAGAATAAAAATACTTTAAGTAGAAATTCTATTCTGGCCCCAATACTTCTTAAATTAGTAAGACATTTTATTCAGAGAAATAAATATCAATGGGACAATATTGGAATGGTAGCAGGGATGATTGCAAGAGGAAAGATTTTTAAAAAAACCAAACACATAAATATTCAGTCCAGTTCCATTGGCAGCCTGGGTCTGAAGCAGAATGGAAAGTGAGCTTGCTGTGGAGATAGAATCAAGAGTTCAAGTTTCTGGGGTGGTCCTAAGATTGCAGACGAATAGGACAATGAGACCACTTTCTCCCCCACAAATTTGTCGAAAGAACATTTGAACGCTGAGCAAATTCCACGTAACAACTTCTGAATGCTGGAAGAGGACATCAGGCTCCCAGAAAGACAGCCCATTGTCTTTGAAAGGAGGTAGGACAAACTATAAAAGATAAAAAGACAGACAAAAGAGACAGGGACAGAGATCCGTCCTGGGAAGGGAGTCTTAAAAGAGGAGAAGTTTCCAAACACCAGGAAGCACTCTCATAGCGGGTCTTTTGGGAGTTTTGGAATCTCAGAGGACAATATAACCAGGAGAAAAAATAAATATATAAATAACTAAAACCCACAGATTATGTGCCTAATGGCAACTCCCAGCAGAAAAGTAGCCCAGACGCTCGCATCCACCACCAGCAAGTGGGGGCTGAACCCAGAGGCTTCGGCTGCATTGCTTAGAGTAAGGAACAGGCCTGAATACCCCGAGGGCAATCTGAGGGAGCTAATGTAAGATAGCAACCCAGACTGTGGGATAGCCAGAGGGCGAGAAAGAGAACTGTCCGGAGAAAAGCCCTAACCTAAGACATTGCCATGCCCTCAGGTTGTGAATCTAAATGCTGCCTTATAAAAATGAACTGCTACCAGGAAGCCGTGATTAGCTAGGCTCAAGTAGTACTAACTCTAATCTCATAAGAACTTCTACTAGACCTATTAATTGCTTCTTTACAGATTTATTTTACATCAGTTATCTTATTTAACCTTTAGTGCAATCCTAAGATTTAGATACTTTTCATTAACATCTTAGAGATGAAGGAACTGAAACTGAGCTAGAATAATTGGCCAAAGTTAATGCAACTGGTAAATACTGGTACAAGAGTTTATAGTCTGGAAAGTTTGTTTTAATTTAGTCCTTTTTTTGTCAATGATGCTGGTTCTTTTCAAGCTATTGCAAAGGCACTAGAAACCTGCAGTGCCTCAGGGACCACTGACCAGAAAAGGGAAGGAGAGGGGAATAAACCAGGCAGTGCCCTGGGCCCCTCACTCCAGGTTCAGCCAGAGCACATCTTTTATATATGAGTTTTATTTAAAGTTTTATGTTAAAAATTTCCAAATGTGATATTTTACCGGGATGTCCATTTTGAACTGTGGTGTTGGAGAAGACTCTTGAGAGTCCCTTGGACTGCAAGGAGATCCAACCAGTTCATGCTAAAGGAAATCAGTTCTTTCTAATCAGTCCATCAGTCCATCCTAAAGGAATCAGTCCATCCTAAAGGAATCAGTCCATCCTAAAGAAATCAGTTCATTGGAAGGACTGATTCTGAAGCTGAAACTCCAATACTTTGGCCACCTGATGCAAAGAACTGACTCATTGGAAGAAACCCTGATGCTGGGAAAGATTGAAGGCAGGAGGAGAAGGGGACGAGAGAGGGTGAGATGGTTGGATGGCATCACTGATTCGATGGACATGACTTTAAGTGAGCTCCGGGAGTTGGTGATGGACAGGGAGGCCTGGCACGCTGCAGTCCTTGACCCCAAGGAGTTTGGGTCACTGCAGTCCTTGGGGGTCACAAAGAGTCGGACACGACTGAGCAACTGAACTGAACTGAACCATGATGTCTTCTAAAGCTGTATTAGTAGCTTCTTGAAATCAGAACAGTCTTATCGTTTCTTTGATCTCACAAGTGGGAAACTTCCCATGTCTTGGAGCAGATGGAAATTACTACCCTTAGAATGTGCTTTGGACTCCAGTATCTCCCATTGACCCTGGCAGCCTTGCTGTCTTTTGCATCAAATTCAGTTACATTATTCACGTACCTGCAACCTTCTCACTGTTATCAGTGATATCAGTGATATCACTGTTATCGCAACTCACTGAGTTCTTTCCAAAGAGAGAAGTGATATCTTCTCCAAATATCTTGAGACAGTTTTCAATGAGAAATTGTATGAAAGAAATCTGTAACACAGAGGGGCAAAAAAATGGGGTATTACCGTACATATGGCGTCATAGTAAATCACATTTCATACATGAGTCTTGGCTCTAACAAAAAATGCAAGAGAAGTCTGAGAAAAATTCACTTGATTTAAAAAATATATATATTATATATACATCAGCTTTTTCTAAGAAATAACTAATACTTTCAAGAGTACTTTGGGCAAAATTTTAAAATTCTTTTAGTTGGTAGACTAAAGTTATCATATGTGGCCTAGTTTAATAGCTAAAATTTTGTAATGATTGTTACATGCTTAAAATTAGGATGATTTTTAAGTAGCCTACATAGGATACTTGGGACAAAAATGTATATTTTCTTATTAAGTTTTATTTATTTGTATTAAATTTTTTTCTCGTTTTATTGAGATAGAATTTATATATAGCATCTCATTAAGCTTTATAAAGTATCAAATGCAACTCAACTTTTGAAATTCACTTCAGTGAAGAACTATCTGAAACTTGGGTAGCAGAGGTTGCTGTGTGGGGTGGGGGGGTTTGTGACGGAAGAAAGCATCTGGAGAGAAAACATGTCTGTCTGTCTAACTGCATTGCCTTGCCTCACACTTGCTGTCCAGGGGAGCTTGGAAAAGAGCTGTGATCTTCTCAGGCATGTTGTGGCTCTGTCAGATGTTCTGAAATATTTGACTAGCTTCCTCATCCTCTAGCAGAGACACAATAGAAGCCAAGTATTTTCCTGAATGAGCCAGAACTGGCAGCGTGAGGCCAGTATGTGTGGAGCCTTGGGTGCTCATATTGCCCAGGCCGCCTAAGATGTGCGAGAGTGACCAGATGTATCGGGTGTTGTCATCATTGTGTAATGATGAAATCATAGTTTGGAGGTTTGTACACCCCTCAGTGATTAGGCTGAGAGTTGAATCTTGGTTCTCAGATACCAAAGCCAGGTTCTTTTCTATCCTACCATCCTACTCTTATCTCTCTATTGTTTAATCTCTTGGCTGGCAAAGGAGAAGTGACTCAACTGTGCTCAGTTGCCATACACCTTCCCATGCCCAACCAGAGTAGGACTCTGCCAGTCCAAGGCAGTGTAATTAAAACGTGCACTTTAAAAACTGGTTCATCAGAGTTAATACCACCGACTTCAGGTTCAAAATGGGGACACTGCCCCGCAAGGCATAAAAATGAGAGATCTCATTACCTTTTTGGTGAAGCTTTCTAATTCTGTGCTGCCAGAATTAAGCAGACAAAGAATGCTTGGGGTTATACACACTGATAAATTGTAAGCTGTCATCTGATTGGATGAGGAATGTTGCTCAATGTTGTGTAACACTCCAAAAAGGTAACGCAAAAAAACTACGTTGGCTCTTGGCAGCTGGTCTAGAAGCCTAATGACAGAAAAAGGCACTTATAAATAAAGCGAGTCATTTTGGTCAGTACGAGGAAATACAGAGAACAAAGTACTTCTTTTTATACCATGTCCACAGTCCATTCTCACAGTTCCAGGCATGAATGCATACAAAAATGTTTCACCGAATTTAATTCCTGAGCCAGGTAAGAACTGCTCTGGTTAGTTATGTGTTTGTATTTAAGATCATACCACTGGCAGATTGGTTCTTTATCATCTCTTTTTAGACCAATGGATTTCATCTCCAACAATTTCGTGTATTCAGAAGGTGTAAAATGGTCAAGCATTCCATATTAATAAGATGAGGAGAAAAACACCAATTACAATGTCACCAATAAGGCATGCATCTCTTTTCAAACTGGCTTCCATGGGTATGATCAAGTGAAGCCTTTTGATACTGGTCATTATTTTAGTGGACACAGCTATAAACTATAAGCTGATATTTTCCTAACAGTATGTTGGTTGTATTTTCTCAGAGTTGAGAAAATTGCATCATTACCTCTGGGTCGCAGTTATTTTCTCCTCCTCATTGCCTTGATCAATAACATCAAGCCATTTATCATAGAGACTGGCTGAAAATATGCTTCCTGGAATATTTCGAAGAAAATCCTTATATAGATCAAAAAATATATATTAGTCTTATGATAAATTCAATGGAGAAATTGCAAAGAAAATATTTAGTTGAAAAATTCAATTCAGTCCGTGGTTCCTTCACAGCCACGCAGACTGATTCACACAGAGCTTGGCTGTGATTCTCCACAGCCTTGCACACCCAGAAGTGCTGGTTGGATTTTCCCCAACTAAAATTAGAAGCATGAAAGTAGAGTTTGGGCTGTAGTGAGAATGATGCTAAAGCTCCTTCTATCACCTGGAGCTTACTCTTTGTGTTCATGTTAGGCACATTAGTACAAACTGGCAAGGTCTAGTGATTACTCATCCTAAATCCAATTAGTTTCTTTAAAAGAAATGCACATACCCATTTTGTTTGTTTACTTAAGACACAGTGCTTGCTCTTAATTCAAGAAAGAGAATTTCTGAAATAAACAAAATTACACCCCTCCATGCTCTTATACACATATTAAGAGAAGACTTGAGGTATATGTGCTCTTTGGGAAAAAAGCTAGTCTCATAATAGCTTCAATCTTTTTCTTTTTTTTTTTTAAAAACCATATAAAAGTTCAGTCCTACAGACTTTTAAGCAGCAGGTGTTAGAAATAAATCAAAAGCTCCAATAGGTAAACTACATGTTACCCTTACAACTCTTTGAATGGAATATATTCTCCCCAAGGAGGAAAGTGAGAATTTAGATACATTGCCACTTCACACCTGTGGGATAGAATATGCAAATATAAGCTTCCTAAGTGGAATCCTGGAAAGTTCATCAGTGATGAACAAGTCTTAGTATCATAGAATGGGGCCTATTAAAATAGATGACGTTGTAAACTGTTTTGCAAGACTGAGGGGAAATGATTGCATTGCCTTGCCAGTTTCAAAGGCACAACTTGCTTCCACTGGTCTTAATATAGAACCTGACTTCTATTAACAGTATCTTGTTCAGGCAAGGTTTCTGGGCAACTCTCATGATTATAATCCAGTCAGTGTTCACTTGTTTCAGTACTTATTGAGCTGCTGTTTGTGCCAGGCACTCTTTTGAGTACTGAGGACAGAGTACAAAGTCTCAGTCCTCTCATACTTTTTCTTGTAATTGGTATACAGTACCCAATCATGGTCATTAGGTTTTCACTATGCTTCTTATGGAGAGTCCACAGTATATCTGGAAGGAGGAGGCACTCCATTTCAGTTCAGTCGTTCAGTCATGTCCTACTCTTTGTGACCCCATGGACTGCAGCACACCAGGCTTTCCTGTCCATCACCAACACCTGGGTCTTGCTCAAATTCATGTCCATTGAGTTGGTGATGCCATTCAACCACCTCAGCTGGCTTTGGCTTCTGGGAGTCTGGGAGTGTGCAGCAGGCCTTTGCCTTGGGTACCAAACTACATGCACTTGGAGAGTGTGTCTCTCCTCTCTCTTGGACCTTGTGCTGTAGAATCAATTGGTGAGACTGAGTATGGTTAAGCCAGGACATGACTCATGCAGAATATGCCATGGGTATTTGCTGTTGGATCTCTGTTTATAGACAGTTTAATGGAAAACTCAATGTGGTTCTCACTATATATTCATTTCTGATTTAGACCAACTCTATGGCTGCTTTGACATATGGTATTATCAATGCTGAGGTTGCAAAGTCTGATTCCCCACCAAGATCAATCAATTTTAGGAAAAGAAAACTTTGGGATTGTGTAAGACCTGTACCCATAAGTAGCCACCCTCTTACTAGTCTGTGCTTATAGCATGGAAATAGGCAAGAGCCTAGTAAATCTTGCTCAAAAATCAAATCAGTTCCAAGGGTGCACCTTATAGACGGTAGCACTCCACTTGCTATTTGCATACCTAGCGTGTATTATTATGGTGCAAGTGTAGTAGGGGTCAACTCTAAGTTGTATCTGCACTGTTGCTATTATCATACAATCGAACATTAACAGGGGACAAGGAAAGACCATATGTTTAGTTTCTAAGATAATTTTAATAACCTGTCTGTAGTTATTACTACATCAATATATTTTTGTTCATAGCTGCTAACAAGTATCAAGATGAATTGACTAAATTTTTTTCCTGTTCTATTATTGCCCTGGTAGAGATTTAACTACACACACTTGTGATTTAGCTGTATCATTTCAAACTCAGTGTGTTTTTTGTATGAATCTATTGAATTTTCAAAATTCCAAACTGACTTTGACTGTTGCACTCACTTTAAAAATAAGATTTATAAGATGAGGCATGTAATAAAACTGGTTACCATGTAACTGTAACCTTGCGTGGTGGGTTAAACATACAAATATTAACAAAGGGTATTAAAGATGTTAAGGGAGATAAAAGGATTAACAAATGGTGGAGTCATCCCTACACTGATTTTAAAGTAAAAGGCATTGAGAGACAGGGGAAGGAAGGATGATGAAGTGATCAGAGAATTTGGTGGCCTCACTAAGCATTTTTTGATTCACTATAAGTCAAATGGGTTTCCCAGATGGTGCTAGTGATAAAGAACCTGCCTGCCAATGCAGGAGATGCAAGAGCTGCGGGTTCGATCCCTGAATCAGGAAGATCTCCTGGAGAAGGGCATGGCAGCCCACTCTAGTGTTCTTGCCTGGAGAATCCCATGGACCAAGGGGCCTGGTGGGCTACAGTCCATGGGATCACAGAGAGTCGGACACGACTAGGCGACTAACACACACACAGACACACACACACACGAGTTTACCACAGTAAGTAACCATGTGTCTTGCATCCATGCTGAGTTGCTTCAGCCGTGTCTGACTCTGTGCCATCCCATGGACTATAGCCTGCCAGACTCCTCTGTCCATGGGATTCTCCAGGCAAGAATACTGGAGTCGGTATGCCAGTCCCATTTCCAGGGGATCCTTCCAACCCAGGGATCGAACCCAGGTCTCCCGCATTGCAGGCAGATTCTTTACTGTCTGAGCCACTTGGGAAGTTAGTTCTGTTAACTATTTCCAAAAGCTTAATACGAATTTTATTTTGGAAATGTTGCCTTCATTAGAAAGATGATGAGGAAGTCACCAAAAGCAGGAAGCTTGTATTGGTAAACACTCTTATGTGTAAGTGTGTATTTTGAAATTTATTATTATTCTTTTGCATGGAGTGTTCAGGAGTCAAGATGTGCAATGAAAAAGGAAAATATCTAATATATGGGGCTTATAATATTTGAGGTACCTTCCTTCAATTTTGGCTTTGTGAAGTGTTTTTCACTTTTTCAAATCCTTCCTCTCTTATGCCTATTATGTTTCTTGGGCAGTCATAATGAAGGGCCAGTCATATAGCTTCAGATTTACTCTGTGTGTGGATAGTGCTCAAACCTTCCTTACCTTTAAGACGGATGCTACCACAAGAAGGGATTCATCATCCAAGTTCACTTTGTCCCCAGAGTTTAGTTTCTCCTTTAGGGCTCTGCATGATTTTATACTGGCAGATTTTCTGAAGATGCCTTCTGTGAATGGCCCTTTTTGATTGATAAAGGAAAGCATATCCTATAGGGAACGAAAGAAAAGAAAAGTATGGGACGTTTCATATCTACAAGCCCAGAGCACAAGCTTGCTCCTCTTTTGACAGAGCTGTGGTGTATGAGGGTACAGTGCTGGAACTGGACCGAAGTCAACTTGAAATTTTTTCTTCAGTGTCTCTAAATATATTTTCTACCCAACCATCGATTGGGCATTCATACCCTGAAACATTTTAAACACTTGTGTCATCAGATTTTCTGCTTCAGTGAATTTACCCTGTTAAACGTCTCTGCTTTGAGGCCTTTGTAGATTCACCCTCTCCTCCTTCACCGCTCCTTTCTCATTATTCCCTATTATAGATGCTCTTCCCTAAGTGTGGAAATCTTTTTGCCATATTCATGCTCCATTTGTGTATTCCCCTTTCCGGACTGTCCACCCCATTCATTCCTATTTCCTGTATTCCGTCCCCTCAAAATCAGGCTCAACATGCCTCTCCTCCTTCTCCGCTCACATTTCTTTCTCATCAGCCTTTCCAGTTCCTTTTTCTGTATTTTCATGTAGTCTGCTGTCTGCAGAGTAGAGAGATAACAGATACTGGAGCCAGGTGTTTCAAGGAATGTGGAATCTGTTTTGCTACTTATCCACTCTGTGACTTTAGGCATAGCACATACTTGGGTGAGGCTCTTTTGATTTTCATTTATGAAGTGGGGGTGATGATAATCATAGCTACCCCCTAAATTTTCTGTGAAAGACACAAGGTCTGGGGTAGTGCTAGCACCAAACTAGTATGATAAATTTCTTCATATATACCATAAAATTCCCTGCATCTAGTGTAGTGCTTGGAGAGATAGTGGACAGTGAACAAGTGTTAATGCTTACAGTTCAATACACTAATTTGATATAGCACAGTCCAAACTGTGACTTTCTTTTGACACATTCTGTCAGGATCAAATGATTCATTTTTGCCAGAGGATGAGTACTTTATGCTGAAACACTTGAGTTACAAATCAAATCCGTGTGAGACATTTTGAATCATAAGGCGGGGTAGACTCAGCTGAAGGAGACTTGAGACTAGTGTCGACTTCAAGGGAGGAGACAGGAGACAATATGAGGATGAGGTGGACTCTCAGAGATTCTTACACACAGAGTCTGAAGGAAAGTTACACAGCTCAAAATAGCCTGGAGTTAAAACTCCCGTCCAGGTCCTCCGCACCATTCTATGCAAAATAAAGAACTCTGTCACCCGAAGAAAAAAATGGACCTTAGGTTGATTACGCCCAGCTCCCAGCTGGTCCCAGCCTCTGGCCAGTCTCCAAAATTCCTTGCTCCAGCTGTGTAAGAGATAACTGCTCTGAAGAACCTTGCAGAACAGGCCTCCTTAAGACAGTAGCTTTCCACATACATGCCTGTATATACTTTTTTCTTGGGGTGGTGCAGCAGCTCACTGTTGTGACTGCTGCCCCTTTTTGCCTCGTTAAAGGTGATCTGTTCCTGTAAAGTGCCGGTCTCATTCTTTTTCCAAACCTTGCCTTCTCTAATTCCCTTACCTTACAGAGTCCATTTTAACTGGTCTGAGCTGGTATAGATGGGTCTTTGTTGAAATCAGTGGAATGGATGAGAGTATCTTTTCATCTGGTATTTGCCTTCTAACTCTGCAGTACCTAAATCAGACCTTATTCTTTGAAGTAATATTATGAAACTTATCAGACAAAGCTAGACTTCTTCATTTGGGAGTAGATTTGGAAGAGAACACTTGATCTCTCAGAACTCCCCTCCCTCAGGAAGGCTACAGAAAACCAAAATAAGACCTACCAGAATTGGGGTGGGCAGGGTGTCATTATCACATACATCCTCAAGAGGAGCTCCAAAGAGCTGTTTTGGCTTTGTGGGTGGCAGACGTGGGTGTTGGTTGTCCTCGCGAGTCCTGGAGCTACACCAAAAGGCCCAGTTTTTGGCAGAATTCTTACTAACTGTCTTCTTGTCTGTATCTAATGTAGAAGAGAGATTTTCACTAGTAGTAGTTTAGCTTATTTAGCCTGATTTCCACCACTTACATTCATTAGCATGTTCATTGCAGTGGCTGAAAGAGAGAAACTGAACCATTTGTTATATAGAATTCCCCACATTCTGAAACGGACTCATTGCATCCTTGTAGTGTTAACATGTTCTTCTTCCCCATATTCTGCAAACCAGTAGTTGAACCTAGAGGCGTGATCAGACTCAGGGTTGATTCTTCCTGTGACAGTATTCCCCAGAGAGTGCTCTCTCTTCCCTTTGCCCTGTGTCATGAGGCACTTAACCTGTAGCTATACAGGTTTCCTAATGTGAAGTATTATCAGTGGATTCTGGTATCAGATCTCATTTTAAAAGCCAAACATATTTAGTATTCAAATCAAGCAGCATTTGGTTATCATTTACTTTTGTAGTAAGTTTCCTCCCTCTGTTCAATTTCCTGTTTGGCTTTCTGAGTACCCAGTCATGCCCAATTTTCTCTCATCAAAAGAATCACCTTTCATGAGACATCCTGCCTGACCCTGCTTTTCAGTCAGCCTCTGGAGCTCTTCTCTGGGAGGCCACACCCCTCAGTCAGCTCCAAGGCTGACTTCCTGCCCTCAGGGTCCTTGGGAAGTAGTCATTAAATGCAGACTATGTGCTAAGATTACAGGTGGCCATTTTTCTGTAACACCTTACTCAGCTAACCCAAAGATGAATTTTAACTACCAACAGCCCCTGTCAAACGAATGCAGTGAAGGGCTTTTCCAAGAAAGAGTGATCAGCAATGAAAAATTGAGTTCAAAGTTTCTCGTGCCCAGCTATGAATGTTTTCCTGATATTTGCTCAATGAACCTGCTTAATATTTCCTTAAATTACCTGCTTAAGTAGCCAGCTGAAGAAGTCAATAGAGGAGTCAAGTTGTAGAAAAATAAACAGAAGAATTTAACGAAATATTTTAAAATGCCATCCACTTGGCTTTTCTGAGACATAGTGAGTGCATCACCATGTCCATTCAAGTGGGTGAGCCACTTGTGGTGCTGGGTGAGAGAACCAGAAGGCTCCTATTCTGCCCCCTAATTGGATAAGTTACCTAAAACTCTTTGAGCTTCAGTTTGCTCAGACTTAATATAAATGATGCTACTTACACCTCACTGGACTACATACCATAATGTACTACTCCGTGCAAGACATGTCACATAGCAGCCTTAATAAAGGTAATTTCCCTCCTTCAAAGGGCCTAAGGCAGCCTAGACATCAGTCACCTCCCCAACAAGCAGACCCCACTCCCATTCTCCATTTGATTTTGCAGCCTCTAGAAGGTGTGCATTCCTGAAGGAATGTCATCGCTTTGCCTTAGGCTCTTCCTGCCTTGACATCATACCGCCATCATTTTCAAAGGAGATGATGAAGAAAGCAAATGCATTCCTAAATTCAGGAAGAGATTCTCCTAATTAATATGTACAAATGTTAAAAAGATACATGTTTATATGGGTGAGTTGCTTTATGCACCCTGGTTTCCCTGCTCTTAACCTGATTATTTTATTTCTAAAACTACCCAAAGGTATTCATGCATTCCAAATGTATTCATTCATTGTTCAGCTTTAATAAGAATACTCAGGAAGAAAGCTCTATCAGTTGCTACAAAGCTATACGTCCAGCTACTCTTGAGCATAGACGGAAAGCAAAATAGAGATTAAGCCCTATACTTTTATTTTCAGGCCTAGATGGACCTTTCGTAATGTACATTGGTTGGTGTTAGAGTTCTTGCTGGCTCAGTGACCAATAAAAATACATACTGTAGCCACGAAAAGTATGGTGCTCGGTTGTTCAGTCGTGTCCAACTCTTGCACCCCTGTGGACTGTAGTCCATCAGACTCCTGTCTGTGGGATTTCCCGGATAGTAATACTGCAGCGGGTTGCCAGGGACTGTTAAACAGGTTAGCTTTATAACCTCATCTTTCTTAAACAGTCCTGACAAGATTTAGGTCAGTGTTTCCTCATGTTCCAATTAGGGTTTGAATGTTAAAAAGTGAAATTTTGAAAGTTTGTGGGTATAGAATAATAATTATAAGAATAAAAATACTTTAAGTAGAAATTCTATTCTGACCCCAATACTTCTTAAATTAGTAAGACATTTTATTCAGAGAAATAAATATCAATGGGACAATATTGGAATGGTAGCAGGGATGATTGCAAGAGGAAAGATTAAAAAAAAAACAAACACATAAATATTCAGTCCTGTTCCATTCGCAGCCTGGGTCTGAAGCAGAATGGAAAGTGAGCTTGCTGTGGAGGTAGAATCGAGATTCAAGTCTCAGGGGTGGTCCTAAGATTGCAGAGGATAGGACGGGGAGACCACTTTCTCCCCCACAAATTCATCGAAAGAACATTTGAACGCTGAGCAAATTCCACGAAACAACTTCTGAATGCTGGCAGAGGACATCAGGCACCCAGAAAGGCAGCCCATTGTCTTTGAAAGTAGGTAGGACAAAATATAAAAGATAAAAAGAGAGACAGAAGAAGCAGGGACAGAGATCCGTCCTGGGAAGGGAGTCTTAAAAGAGGAGAAGTTTCCAAACACCAGGAAAGACTCTCATAGCGGGTCTGTGGGGAGTTTTGGAATCTCAGAGCACAACATAACTGGAAGGAAAAATAAATATATAAATAACTAAAACCCACAGATTATGTGCCTAACGGCAACTCCCAGCAGAAAAGTAGCCCAGATGCTGGCATCCACCACCAGCAAGTGGGGGCTGAACCGGGAGGTGTGGGCTGCATTGCTTAGGGCAAGGACTGGGCCTGAATGCCCCAAGGGCAATCTGAGGGAGCTGATGTGACATGGCAACCCAGACTGTGGGATAGCCACAGAGAGAGAAAGAGAACTGTCCTGAGAAAAGCCCTAACCTAAGACATTGCCAGACATCACCACATACACATGGACATCACCAGATGGTCAACACCGAAATCAGATTGATTATATTCTTTGCAGCCAAAGATGGAGAAGCTCTAAACAGTCAGCAAAAACAAGACCAGGAGCTGACTCTGGCTCAGATCAATAGCTCCTTATTCCCAAATTCAGGCTTAAACTGAAGAAAGCAGGGAAAACCACTAGACCATTCAGGTATGACCTAAATCAAATCCCTTATGACTATACAGTGGAAGTGAGAAATAGATTTAAGGGACTAAATCTGATAGACAGAGAGCTTCTTGAACTATGGATGCAGGTTTGTGACATCGTACAGGAGACAGGGATCAAGACCATCACCATGGAAAAGAAATGCAAAAAGGCAAAATGGTTGTCTGAGGAGGCCTTACAAATAGCTGTGAAAAGAAGAGAAGTGAAAAGCAAAAGAGAAAAGCAAAAATATTCCCATTTGAATGCAGGGTTCCGAAGAATAGCCAGGAGAGATAAAAAAGCCTTCCTCAGTGATCAGTGCAAAGAAATAGAGGAAAACAACAGAATGGGAAAGACTAGAGATCTCTTCAAGAAAACTAGAGATATCAAGGGAACATTTCAGGCAAAGATGGGTTTGATAAAGGACAGAAATGGTATGGACCTAACAAGCATAAGATATTAAGAAGAGGTGGCAAGAATACACAGAAGAACTGTACAGAAAGGATCTTCATGACCCAGATAATCACAATGGTGTGATCACTCACCTAGAGCCAGACATCCTGGGAAGTGAAGTCAAGTAGGCCTTAGAAAGTATCACTATGAACAAAGCTAGTGGATATGATGGAATTCCAGTTGAGCTATTTCAAATCCTGAAAGATGATGCTGTGAAAGTGCTGCACTCAATATGCCAGCAAATTTGGAAAACTCAGCAGTGGCCACAGGACTGGAGAAGGTCCGTTTTCATTCGAATCCCTGAGAAAGGCAATCCCCAAAAATGCTCAAACTATCGTACAATTGCACTGATCTCACACGCTAGTAAAGTAATGCTCAAAATTCTCTAAGCCAGGCTTCAGCAATAGGTGAACTAAGAACTTCAAGATGTTCAAGCTGGTTTTAGAAAAGGCAGGGGAACCAGAGATCAAATTGCCAATATCCGGTGGATCATCGAAAAAGCAAGAGAGTTCCAGAAAAACATTTCTTTCAGCTTTACTGACTACGCCAAAGCCTTCGACTGTGTGGATCACAATAAACTGTGGAAAATTCTGAAAGAGATGGGAATACCAGACCACCTGACCTGCCTCTTGAGAAACCTGTATGCAGGTCAGGAAGCAACAGTTAGAAGTGGACATGGAACAACAGACTGGTTCCAAATAGGAAAAGGAGTATGTCAAGGCTGTATATTGTCACCCTGCTTATTTGACTTCTATGCAGAGTACATCATGAGAAACGCTGGGCTGGAAGAAGCACAAGCTGGAATCAAGATTGCTAAGAGAAATATCAATAACCTCAGATACACAGATGACACCACCCTTATGGCAGAGAGTGAAGAGGAACTAAAAAGGCTCTTGATGAAAGTGAAAGAGGAGAGTGAAAAGTTGGCTTAAAGCTTAACATTCAGAAAACCAAGATCATGGCATCTGGTCCCATCACCTCATGGGAAATAGATTCAGAGACAGTGGAAACAGTGTTAGACTTTATTTTTTGGAGCTCCAAAATCACTGCAGATGGTGACTGCAGCCATGAAATTAAAAGACGCTTACTCCTTGGAAGGAAAGTTATGACCAACATAGATAGCATATTAAAAAGCAGAGACATTACTTTGCCAACAAAGGTCTGTCTCGTCAAGGCTATGTTTTTTCCAGTGGTCATGTATGGATGTGAGAGTTGGACTGTGAAGAAAGCTGAGTGCCGAAAACTTGACGGTTTTGGACTGTGGTGTTGGAGAAGACTCTTGAGAGTCCCTTGGACTGCAAGGAGATCCAACCAGTCCATCCTAAAGGAGATCAGTCCTGGGTGTTCATTGGAAGGACTGATGTTGAAGACAAAACTCCAATACTTTGGCCACCTGATGTGAAGAGC